AGGTAGCATGAAACTATCATTAACAGTATTATAAATCATAGTACCTCAATTAAGTTAGAAAAGATGGTCTACCATCTCGTTTTATAATAGCCAGTTTGTGTACTGGTATGTAATGCGGGTTCTAGTTCATATTTATGAAGAGATTGATGAATAGTGCGAGGATTTGAAAGCATTTGGAAGTATGAATGTACATAGATTGGAAAGAAGCGTCAGAGAAGGGAGAGGATGATCTACGTAAATTATATCTAAATTTGGGGCAAAGTAATAGAATAGCGGATAAGGCATTTGTCCGGCACGTGGCCAACTCCGGGTCCATCCCTGGCACTCCATGTGCCCTGTGCCCTGCCAGGTGTGATCCCTGAGTGCAGAGCCAGGAGTAAGCCCTGAGCACAGCTGCCTGTGGCTCAAAACAAAAACAAGGCAAATTGTATCTATATTGCTTGTGAGGTTATTATTGCGAATTCAAAAGTATTTAAAGCCCACAACATAATTTGCAGTTTCCTAAGTAAGAATATATCAAAATGTGGACTGGAACCCTGTTAGATTTTCTGTTTAGTCTGTGATTATTCTAAGATTATTGAGCCTTTATATGGGATGAGCACCAAAAACACAATTTAAAAAAAAATCAAAATTCCAGCTCAAACTTTGTGCAAAAAATGTTTTCAAAATAAGATTTTATTTTGTCCTTCCAGTCTTAGACAGTAAAGATGGAAGTATGGTTGATATGTTGCACCTTCATCTATTTTTTATCTAAGTCATTCTGGTTTAGAAGGAAGGATAGTGAAAGCAGTAACACTGCACAGTATTTTACAGGTTTCAAAGAATTTCATGTTCTTTTTTTTCATCTGGCTCAGGGATAATATCCATTGTGGTTCTTGTGATGTGGTGCCAGGGATCGAGCCAGGGCTCCCACATGTAAAGTGTATACTCTAGCCCTCTTTGCCATCTCATACCTATTTTTGGTTGCTTTCATTTGGCTTTACTGCTTTAGAAAAAAGACAAAAATCAATTCAGTAATTTGACTGAAACAACATAGCTGATAATTGTCAAGTTGACCCTGACAAAGTCAGATTCAAATTTTTGCTTTCTTTCTACTCAGGTATCAATAAGTTTTGGGGAGGCAGATTTACTTAGCTTGGATGAAGGCCAGTTGTGTGTGTGGCATCAGTTAAGAAACAGTCGGAAACCCGAAACTTTGGGCAGAGTGACTGAGTGCATAGATGTTTGGGGCCAGGCCAGGTGGACAGGTGAGGTTGTGACCTTCCTTTCTGCATACACTGCTGATGAAGCAACCCAGAGCAGCAGCTTGTCTTACCCTCAGTTCTGTAGAAGCCTGAATGGTGGGCACATGAAGTGAATGACCTTAATTTTACCCCATCATGTGCTTGAAGACGTGTACCTAGACATGTACATGTACGTACACAGGCTTATTTCTGACTCAGCCCAGGACCCCTGGTAGTACTTGGGGGACCATCTAGTGCCAGGGATTCAAACAGGTCAGAGGGCTGCAAATATGTGCCTTAAACCTGTGTATTTCTCTGATCCCCTCACTAAATTTGATAAGGAAAGTTAAGAAGCGACAGGAAAATGGGATAAGCCCCATAGGCAAAATTGGAAAGCTATTTGCTGTGTTTTTGTTGTTGATAGTAGCCTGTATCTGGGGGTGTTCAGGGTCGACTCCTGGCCCTGGCCCTGTACTGAGCTGGTCGGCGTCACTCCTGGAGGGCTGGGGATGTGATTCAGGCTCTTGCATGCATTTGCTCCGCAGCCTCATGGACTCCACTGTTTGTCAGTGTTAGGCTGAGGAGGAATTTTTTTTTTCTTTTTTTTTGAGGGGGGCGTTGTTGCCTGTACTCAGGGCTGTCTCTTGGCTCTTTGCTGAGGGATCACTTCTGGTGGGGCTTGGGAAGGCAAATGGGAGTAAATATTTGAATACTGAACATCTGACAAAAGGTTAATTTCTAGATAGAGAAAGCATTTACCTAGCTCAGTAACAATGACAACTGACGACCCTATTGAAAACTACAGATAGGAGCTAAACCAGAACTTCTTTAGATTAGACTTACAGATGGCCTGCAGGCCTCTGAGAATTGTATATCACCACTTAATAGCTAGGCAATGCAAATCAGAATACATTGAGATATATACACATACAGTGTGTATATCTATACATACATTTATATGTATATATGTATGTACATATATATATGCAAAATGAGAGTGACCTATATTAGAGAATCTGGCTATTACCAGTGTTGTTGGAATGTGGTAAAAAGGAATTACTGTTTATTGCTGCTGGGAAATCATTATGGGAGACAATAGAAAATAAACTCAGAGCTTTCATGTGACTCAGGGATTCTACTCCTTGGCACCTATCTCAAGAACACTAGCACTATAGCACTGTCCTCCTGCTGTTCATCGATTTGCTCGAGCAGGCACCAGTAATGTCTCCATTTTGAGACTTGTTGTTACTGTTTTTGGCATATCGAATATGCCACGGGGAGCTTGCCAGGCTCTGCTGTGTGGACGCGGGATACTCTTCATAGCTTGCCGGGCTCTCTTAGAGGGGCGGAGGAATCGAACCCTGTGCAAACGCCATACCCACTGTGCTATCGATAGCTCCAGCCCATCTCAAGAACACAAAATTTAAAAAGTATATGCACTTCTGTGTTCCTGCAGCATTGTAATAGCCAAGATACGGAAATAATCCAGGTGCCCAGCAGTAGATGGTCAGATAAAAATATGGTATATATACATAGTGCAAAGCCGGTAGGTCACATGCAAGGCAAGAGAGAGCCTCAAAAAACTCTTAAAGACCAGCTATAAAAAAATATAAAATCCCCATTTTGCTACTACTTGCATGGAATTGAGGGTGTAATATTAAGAGAAGTGAGTGTAAAGAAGGTCAGACACCAGGTGATATCACTCATATGGACGATGTAGAAACAGAACAAGGGAACAGACAGTGGCCAATCAAAACAAAACCTGAGATTCTGCTAAAAGAAAAGAGCCTGCCAAGTGTGCAGGAAAGGGACAGTTTGCCCTTGAAGGAACCTATGGTTCAGTAACATTACACGAGAATTTAAATGGCAGTTCTCAAAACTTTTTTTTTTAAGCATTTGGGTCACAGCCAGCAATGCTGAGGGGTTACTCCTGGCTCTGCACTCAGGAATTCTCCTGGTGGTGCTTGGGGGACTATATGGGATTCCAGGGAATGAACTCAGGTCAGCCACGTGCAAAGCAAATGCCCTGCTCGCTATAATATCACTCTGGCCCACATTTTTTTTTGGTGGGGTCGGTTTTGGACCACACCTGAGGGTGCTCAGGACTTATTCCTGACTGCACTCTAGGATCACTCTTGGCTGTGCTCAGGGGACCGTATGGAGTGCCAAGGATCAAACCCGGGTTGGTCACATGCAAGGCAAGAGTCCCTCTTGCCGTCAAAAAAAAAAACGAAAACTATTTTAAAGCTAGTTTTAACTCATTAAAGTATGTTATATACATATATGCATAATATATAATATAAATTATACAATATGTGTTTTATATAATATATAATTATGTTTTATAATATATATATATATAAAAGTCCATATACATATGGACTGAAGAGGCACCTCAAAGGGCTCAGTGCATCTGAAAGGTCCCAAATCAGTCTCCAGCAGTACCTTGTCCCTTAAACAACACCAGCAGTCACCCCAGCCTCTGAGCTGGGAATAGCCCTTGAGTGTTGCTGGATATGACTCCCCCCACACCCCACTAAATAAACCAAACCCAACCAGGCCAGGAGAGTACCGCTGGTGAAGTGCTTGCCTTGCATGCAGCCAACCCAGGTTCAACTTCTCACCACCCCACCATGGTCCCCTGAGCACTGCCAGGTGTGGCCCAACAAAACAAAACAAAAAGCCTCAAACAGAACATTTATACATATCATATGTACACCCATTTTGAAATTTGAGCAAATCAACCATAGTAAAATCTATCTTAATTACGAATTATTGAAAATGGGAATAAAGCTCAGTAGTCTAGCAGATGCTTCTCATTTTTGAGACCTCAGGTTTGATCTCTAGCAACCCCCCCTCCAAAAAAAAAAAAACCATTGTTGATGCTTCTCATAATTGGGTAGACTGCGACATGTGACTGTTTCCTTTCGCTAGAACTTTTCGGTTTGGTTTGGTTTTGGGGCCACAGCTGGTAATGCTCAGAGGTTACTCCTGACTGTGCACTCAGGAATCACTCCTGGTTGTGCTCAGGCATTTATATGAAGTGCCAGGGATCGAAGGCAGTTCAACCACATTCAAGGCAAGCACCTCACCTGCTGTGCTATTGTTCTGGCCCCATAAAACTTTCGTATTTTATTAATGTATATCTTTGTGCTTCTCATAGAAAGGAATCAAATTTGATTTAGGATGAGAGGCTTATAGTAAACAAGGAGTAAAATGACTGAATATTATCAAAGGGATACTTTGTTTTTATAAATTATGACCTAAAATCTTGAACTGTTAATTTATTGTGAAGAATTAGATTAGTTACAGATAAAAATTTCTTTTCCTTTTCTCCTTGTACGTTTTAGTAGGGAACATAGAGGTTTATAGTTGTTTATTATGTCAGAAACACTGGTAAGATTTATATTGCTGGGGTTTAATGTAGCCAGTGAAACTTCAATATAAAGCTAACTCTGGACTAGAAGTGTATTTGTTGTGTATTTGTTGGTGTGTAGGAAGGATTACTTTTCTAGTTTGGCCACTATTTTAACAGCATAGTAGACTGTTGTAGAGGGGGTTGAAATTTGAGCCTTGCATTGATTAGCTGGGCCAGAGAGACAGGTAAGAAGCTTGTCTTGTGTGTGGTTACTCCGGCTCTATTCCTCGGGACCACATACGGTCTTCTGAGTACTGCCAGGAGTGGTCCCTGAGCACAGAGCTAGGAGCAAATTGTGTGTGGCCTCGAAACAAAACAAAAATTGAAGTGCCTTCCTCTACCCGCTTTTCTACTTACAGTGGTAGCCGGTCTTCTAAAACATTTAAACCAAAGAAGAACATTCCAGAGGGATCTCATCAATATGAGCTCTTAAAGCACGCAGAAGCCACACTTGGCAGTGGCAATCTTCGGATGGCTGTCATGCTTCCAGAGGGAGAAGATTTAAATGAGTGGGTTGCAGTAAACAGTAAGTACCCTTTTTCTTCCTCTGTAGACTCTAAATGGGATTAGAAGTTGCATTGTGTTGGTCTTCTATCAGTTTGAGGAGCTAGTTAGCAACCTATTATAGTACAATGATAATTTACCGTAGTTTAGTCTTTTTTATTTTATTGTATATATGGAGTTCTATGGAATTCTTGATTCTTGTTACAGTGTAACAGAAAGCAATAGATTTATACTCTTCAGTGGGAAAAATGATTAACAAACAGGTAATACTTATGAAGCTCTAATTATGTATCCGGTACCCTGTTGTCCTTTCTACATGAATTATTTCATCTTCACAATCTAATGATGTAGGCATTTTTCCATTTTTTCCTTTTTGGGTCACACCCAGCGATACTCAGGGGTTTCTCCTAACTCTGCACTCAGAAATCACTCCTGGTGGAACTCTGGAGACTATGTGGGATACTGGGAATCAAACTTGGGTTGGCCACTTGCAAAGCAAACACCCTCCCTGCTGGACTGTTGCTCCCCGACCCGCATGTAGGTATTATTATCCTAATTCAAGGGCTGGAGCGATAGCACAGCGGTAGGGCATTTGCCTTGCACGCAGCCAACATGGCCGACCCGAGTTCGATTCCTCCGCCCCGCACGGCAGAGCCTGGCAAGCTCCCCGTGAGTATTCGATATACCAGACACAGTAAGAACAAAGTCTCCAATGGAGACGTTACTGGGCCCGCTGGAGCAAATCGATGATCAACGGGAGGGCCTTTAATTTTTAATTAAAAAGTTTCAGAATCTGAGACAGAAAAATTATCAATTCACCAGGCTATAAAAATATATGACAGAACCTGGGCTCACATACAGTACTATAACTTCTATGCACTGTGTACTTTAATCACTATTCTCAGTTGCCTTTGGGTAGCATATTCAATTTTGTTTAAATTTTACTTTAAAAGGGAGTTCATCTGTACTCATATGAAAATAGTAAAATATATTTGCAATATTCTTAACCCTAGTGAAGAAAAACATAAATATAAAAAATAACTATATTTTCTGGGAATGAAGCCAGAGAAGATAGGAAAATAAAAGTAGTGCTCAGGGTGTACTCCTGCCTCTGTGCTTTGGAGACCATGTGATGCAGGGATCAGACTGGGGTCTGCCGCATGCAAAGCAAGTGCCTTCACCCCTATACTATCTCACTGACCCCTGAAAGTAGTACTTTTGGCATTTGGGGATTAAAATTATTTTTAAATTTTATTGGTTTTGAGACACACCAGGCTTATACCTGGTCTGCTCTTAGGGATCACTCTTGGAAGGGCTTGGAGGACTATATGTGTTGTGGGAATGGAACCCAGGTCAGTCGTGTGCAAGATAAGCACTTTAGCTGCCGAACTCTCCTTCCCTCAGTATTTAGGGTTTTTAAATATTAGTGAGGGTCGTCATAGAATAATCACAGAAAACTTTTGATTCTGGTCAAAATAAGATAAAACTTTTAATTGAAAACATGCAGTAAATACCTTTTAAGGAGAATCGGTCTCGGGAAACAACCTGTGGAGCTGTGGTGTATGTTTGCCTGAGACTGGGATTTTGGTTGACCACATGCATGGTCCCGTGAGCCCCCGGGAGTGACTCCTGCACACCTCCAGACGTGGCCCCCAAAAACAAAAACAAAAAAGAAAAAAGAAAAACTTTTTTCTCTTGGACTTTCTTGTGTTTTATTACAACCTGATATAAATTGAGTTACCATCCACTGATAACTTTTAGGAAACCGAAGCATTTTATTCAGATATGTTAAAATACTGAAGCAGCAGTTTTATGCAAGGAGTCTTGTAATTTGAGAATCTCTTAGTACATGAAAGTATATTTAGCAAAAGAGAAAAACAGTTCATTTGCCTTATTGATGAGACCCATATTGCCTATTGTAAGAAACTTCTATGACATTTCTATTTTTTTTTTTTTTTTGCTTTTTGAGTCACACCTGGCGATGTACAGGGGTTACTCCTGGCTCTGCACTCAGGAGCTACTCCTGGCGGTGCTCAGGGGACCATATGGGATGCTGGGAATCGAACCCGGGTCGGCCGCGTGCAAGGCAAATGCCCTACCCGCTGTGCTATCTCTCCAGCCCCAAAATTTCTATGACATTTCAAAGGTTGTATGCAGAATAAATTTCCCATGTATTTATGTTTAAGTTCTTCTTTGACTTTTGTACTTTTTTTTTTATTGAATCACTGTGGGAAAAGTTACAAAGCTTTCAGGTTTAAGTCTCAGTCATGCAATCATCAAACACATTTTCCTTCACTAGTACTTATTTTTCACCACCAAGAAACCCAATAAACCCCCCCTTCCAACTCTCCCAATGCCTGTGAGGCAGATGAATTCTAGTTAACTATCTACTTTGATTAGATTCATTGTTGCGACAAAAGATGCACCATTATTGTTTAGAGTTTACACCCCAATATCAGACCTGCTGAAAAGGGATTGTGAAATAATTTGTTTTCTATAGCTGGTTACAAGAACCAAATGATGCGGCCCCGCGATTTTGGATTTCTGGTATTTTACTTATTAAGCCTGGAAGTATTTCTGCCGAGAGTAAGATATAAAATTATGAGATTGGTTTCTGTGGCTCTGGAGCCATGGCCGTGCTGGAGAGCTGCTGGTGGGGGGGGCAACCCGTGACCTTGGTAGGGCGTGAAGGACGAGCCGGGAACGCCCCTCTTCCCATGAGGTTTCAGTAGTCCTGTCACGACCGGCTCATATCTGGCTTTCCAAAAAGCTCCGAGGTGGCTGCCATCTTGCTTTCCAGAGGGAAAAACGCGACTTTTGTACTTTAGCGGGTACTTATTTACCGAATTGAAAGACCTAAAGGAGACAGGATAGAGACTTTGTACTACATGAGATTATTGCTTGAAAGTAGAAAAGCAAATCATTATTTTCTGTGTCTCTACCTAAATTGCCAGAATTTCAGTGCCTCTGCTTTTGAAATGTCTAGAACTTCAGGAACTTCTGAAATATCAGATGCATTAACCAGTTATAGTGAACAAAAATTACTTTGAATTCATGCATTGGAATATTCTCCTAGAACATAAAATTCTGTTTTGTAAACAGCATTTGAGTGAAGTTCTTGGCTTTGATTTTTTGGATCACATGCTTGGTGATTACTTGTGACTCAGAAATCACTCCTGACTGTGCTCAGGGGACTACTTGAAGCTCCAGGGATCGACCCTGGGTCTGCCATGTGCAAGACAGTCTATGGGAGGGAGGCGTGAAGGGAAACTGGGGCATTGGTGGCAGGAAATGTGCATTGGTGGAGGGATGGGTGTTAGAGCATTTTATGACTGAAACCAGCTCTGTAACCGTGTATCTCATGGTGATTCACTTAAAAAGTAATTGTGCAATAAAATTTAAATAAGTTAAAAAAAGTATTGCTGTACTCATTTCTGCCACTGAAGTATTGGATTCTAATATTTTTTCTTATTGTTTGATCCCAAATGATATTTCCTAAATAGATAGGAGTTGAGACTTCAGAGATATTTCCAATCACTATGATTGATTAATATTTTGGGTACATTAAATGACAAAGGGAATTTGTTGATAAGATTGATGTCTCAATGGCCTTTTGGTCTCAGCTCACTTGATAGATGTAAAAGAATGGTGGTAGATAGGAAATCTCTACAACTTTGATACTTGATTTCATAGCCAAAAGACAGAGCCTGGATTTTAACATTCTTTTGCTAGAAAGATAAAAAAGCGATTAGATTAAGGAAGATAGTAGGTTCAGGTTTCTGGGGGCGGGGGGGGGGGGGGGGGGGGGGCGGAGGGAAGTAATGACAGAAACGTCTATTGACCTAGACTCATGAGACCTTATCTTCATATCTGGAAGGAAATAACCCTAAGTACATACTTTGTCTTTGTCTTTGACATACAGACTTTTAAAAAGCATTTTTTAGTAAGTATGATACTTAGATTTTATTATGCAATGTCAGTGGTAAATACAAGGTTTCACATATAAGATATACATTTTATCTCTAAGCGACATTTCCAGTTCTTGTAAATATACTTGAAAGTAGCAGGCCGAGCTTTTGGAAGGTTAAGGATTTAGGAGTCAAACTATATTAATTCACAGCTCTAGTTTGTCCTCTATTTGTGTGGAGGACAATTTCATTACTAAACCGCAGTCATTACTTAGTAAATCTTAGCTTATTGAGAGGTAATACAGCTGAGTCAAACTTTAAGAATTAAATTTAGCATAGTGTTTATTACTGCTCTATTTTCATCAGCAGTTAACTTTTTACTTCTTTCAGGTTCATTCACCCCCTGCGGCTCAAGAAAACCTGAATTAAAAATGCAAACTGCTATTCATAGGCAAATAGGATGACAAGAGTTCTTAGGAATACATAAGTAAGAAGGAACAGAGGCGTAAATTTGAAGTCAAATGTAGTTTTTGTTAAATATGTGGCTAGATACTCTCCTGAGAACCTAAGAGGACATCTTTTCCCTCAGGAGTGCGTATCAGTCAGGTATCACAGTTCGGCTGGGTAGGTAACAGTGGCAAGGGAACACTCGTGTGGCTACCTTGAGTTAATCATGCAACAAGATCTTTATGACTTTTGCTTTATATATTTTTAAAAAAATGGCAAACTGGGGCTGGAGTGATAGTTCAGCGGGTGGGTTTTTGCCTTGCACGCGGCCGACCTGGGTTCAATCCCCGGCATCCCATATGGTCCCCCAAGCACCGCCAGGAATAATTCCTGAGTGCAGAGCCAGGAGTAACCTCTGAGCATGGCTGGGTGTGACCCAAAAAGGAAAAAAAAAGGCACACTGAATAGAAGAGGTTTACTTCTACAATTTATGCTGAATGAAAGCTCAAGTAATTTCTTTCCTTTAGCCTGTAAACTCAGTGGGGGCTCTGGATTAAGTAGATTTGCCACACTGTATCCTTACAGGTTCTAATAGGTCTAAGGGTCATACATTATCTAGAAGAGTTAAAAATTTTGTTAATTTGGGTTTTACAAATCAAGAATGCTTGCTCTGTGCAGAGGGCCTAGCTTCTTAAACTTAGGGCTGTGACCCCATAGGTGTTACATAACTTATAAAATTTTTATTTTAAGGGCTGGAGAGATAGTACAATATGTAAGGCACTAACCTTGTATGCAGCTGACCTGATTTAATCCCCAGTTCCACGTTTAGTCCTTTTAACAGGTGTAAGCCCCGAATATAGCCCAGGGTGTGGCTCAAAAACATTTTTTTAAAAAGCATACATTTCACTCTTATTTATTCGTCGTCGATTGCCTCGAGCAGGCCCCAGTAACGTCTCTTTCATCCTAGCCCTGAGATTATATTCAGGGCTATTTAGGAGAATGAGACCCATCATTGTTACTGGTATTTGGCATAATTGGTACGCCACGGGGAGTTTGCCAGACTCTGCCCTGTGGGCAGGCTACATTCGATAGCCTGCAAGTTTGTCCAAATTTTGATAAGATGTCGCGCGGCCGCGAATGCGGCCGCGCGGTTCCGGGATCTGAATTTTATAGTCTCTGAGTCTTGGCCGCTGATGGGATTACGCGGCGCCAGGGGGCCAGGTGGTGGGTGTGACCCCCGCCTACTGGAATTTGGAGGATCTGGGTGGAAGATGCTCGACTCCAATTCGAGTAGGCTTGGAGGTCTCGGCCCCGGAACCCGCGTGGCTTTGTCCCTCTGCCAGTACCTTCATGTGTGCGGAGAGTGGTCTCAGCATGGTGGTGGCTGGTCCTGGAGGTCTTCGGCTGCCGGAGCCCTGGTCGGGGCGGGGAGGAAAGCTCAACCCGCTCCCCTCCAAGGGGCTCCGGGAAGGAACACCCAGGCGCGGGGGCAGAGACTGCACTGTTCTCGTCCGGGATCTGGATTTTATAGTCTCTGAGTCTTGGCCGCTGATGGGATTACACGGCGCCAGGGGGCCAGGTGGTGGGTGTGACCCCCGCCTACTGGAATTTGGAGGATCTGGGTGGAAGATGCTCGACTCCAATTCGAGTAGGCTTGGAGGTCTCGGCCCCGGAACCCGCGTGGCTTTGTCCCTCTGCCAGTACCTTCATGTGTGCGGAGAGTGGTCTCAGCATGGTGGTGGCTGGTCCTGGAGGTCTTCGGCTGCCGGAGCCCTGGTCGGGGCGGGGAGGAAAGCTCAACCCGCTCCCCTCCAAGGGGCTCCGGGAAGGAACACCCAGGCGCGGGGGCAGAGACTGCACTAAAATTTCATAATCCAGAAAAACACCAATTCTCGTTCTCACAAATTGTTCTGGCCTTTCAATGCTCATATTACCAGGGAGAGTCAAGGTGATATCTGATTGCCATAAGTCACTTTGAGAGAAGGGAAGTGTCCAAGTATGATCATGGAAGGATGCTTTACACACTCCGAGGGAACATTCGCCACTCTTATTTATTACCAATAAATATTTTATTCATATGTACAGCAATATCATTGTTGTGTAAACATTCCTTAGATGAAATGGAATAGTCAGTAGTAAAGTTCTAGCCACCTTGGACTAGGGCAGAGAATTTGACATTTTGTAAAGGACGACATAGTACCCAGGTCGGGCTTTGTTGGCTGGATGAGCTCTGTTGCCACTCTTCTTCCCTTTTGCCATTTGCAAAAATCAACTTCAACATGTGATCAGATAAATATATTTCTGTAAACTTACTCGTAGAAACAAATGATAGGCTTTGTCTTTATTCACATAAAAAAGAGTACATTTCCAGAGGGTTGCTGAGATTTTGTTTTGCCCCTGGAAAGGTCACAATAGGCCAGATAATTTTAGGGCTTACGGTATAAATGAATATTTTTATTCTTTTTTCTAGGAGATAAGCGATAGACTGAGCTATTTTTAAAAAACTGTTATTGATTGAGATTTTGTGCTTTACAGTAATGTCACTGGTGGCTTCTCATGCACATCATTCCACCAACACACCATCACCAATGCACCCAGTTCACCCCTCCAAGCACCTCAGTGCCCTACCTTTCACACCCCACCACCCCCCTTCTAGCTCTGGTTTGGATCAGTCCTCTTGTTAGTTTGCCTTTGGCCCTTTGTTGCTACCTTGCTGAGAAAGATTCCTTCCTGCCTTTCCTTCTTACTGGCTTCACTCAGCATGATTCTCTGGTCATTCACTAGAGTTGGACATTTGGGTTGTTTCAGTATTTTAGCTGTGGTACTTAAGTGCGGTGATGAACATAGGTGTGTACCTTTCTAATGAGTGTTTTTGTGTTTGGAGGTTAGATGTCAAGGAGTGGTATTGCTGGGTTTTATGAGTTTTATTCCTAATATTTGGAGAGATCTTCATACCACTTAGAGGCTGAACCATGTGATATTCCCACTCACAATAGATGAAGGTAGATTTGGCTGTTTATAAAATGATTGTCTTGCAGTGATGCCTGTCAGAAATCAGCTGTTTGTTTTTATCTACACTTATCTCTATTATGTTCCATTGGTGTATTGAGACTGCTTTTTTGTATTTTATAATTTTTGTTCTGCAACTTGTTCATTAAGAGTGTATTGGATAATGGCCTTTTCAAATAAATTTTAGCCTTTTTGATGGCTATGGAATTGAAGCTCATTCTCATTTAAATTTAAAATGTCATGATTGCCAACAGCTTTTCATATATTTTTAGCCATCTGGAAACTGTTTTGAGGACATTCCTGTACAAACTATCTCATATTTCTGCTGTGTTATTTCTGATCTAGAGGGTTCTTCATTTACTCCAGATAAAGATCTGTATTAGTCATATGTTGTGGGTAATTCTTCTATGTGTATTTTTTTTTTTTGCCCACTTAAAGGAGTCCTTAGTAAATAGAAGCTCCTAATTTCAAATTAATTAAATACTGTGGTTTCTGTTTATGTTTCTCACCTGTTTGTTGTACTGGAGAGTCAGACCCAATAAAACAGACTGGGATAAAACTCCCATAAAACCCAGCAATACCACTTGTTGGTATCTAACCTTGAAACACAAAAACACTGATTTGAAAGGCTAGATGCACACCTATGTTCATCACCACCCTTAAGTAAAATAGCTAAAATATAGAAACAATCCAGATGTCCAACTGTAGATAAGTGACTAGAGGATATCATGCTGTGTGTACTCCTACAGTGTGTATATAAATTGATGTATCTAATATTGCGCTTGAGTAAAGTTAAAACTAACTTTTTGTTTTAGTCATTCTATTTATAACTTGTCTTTACTTTGCAGCTGTGGATTTCTTCAATCAAATCAACATGCTTTATGGAACCATCACAGATTTCTGTACAGAGGAAAGCTGTCCGGTGATGTCTGCTGGCCCAAAGTATGACATGGTCTAGGATGATTTTTCATTTTTACTCTATTTTTACAGTTCTTAAATAAGAATAAAGTTTATGACCATGTAACTTTTCTTAGCATCCTTCAGTGATCAGCTAAGTTCTGATTGTTCAGCCTGAGTTTATTGTCCTTTCCTCTTTTGCCCTCCATCTTGCCTTTTATTTCCTTTGCTCTTTCCAAACTAGATTACAAAAAGTATCTAGGTAAATTTGAAAAAAATTTAAAAAGTCAACCTTTAGGAACTGGAGTCATATGACCCCAAAGGTTCTTTGGAGGTCCTGGCACCATGGGCCCCCTGGGCATTGCTGTGTGTCCCCGTACCCCCAAGGACCACTATAGTAGGACCAGAAACAGTAACAATGCAGGCAAACAGTCAGCTTTGGAACAAAAAGGATAAAAGTCATTTTATCTCAGACTTGGAATGAATTTTAAAGAGATTTTTGAATGTTAAGGACCAGTTAAAAACTCGAAATGGAAAAGCATGCCGCTCCCTGCCTGCTCTGTGCCTAGTGGGGGCAGTGCGGCAAGGGGTTCCAGCAAGGGGTGCTGCTTCCCCTTCTCTTTCCTCTAGAGCGGCGCGAGCGACCCCTAGTGCCCGGCAGCTTAGTGGTCTGGAACGATGTTTGCAGTCTGGGGGCGGAAGTGCAGCCTTCTCTGGCAAAAAACGTGAAGGAAGCACAGGAGATGTGCGAGACATTTTATTTAGTTAGATTTTTTTTCCTTCAATTTTTGTGCCACACCCTGTTGTGCTCAGGGCTCACTCCTGACTCAGCACTCAGGGATCCTGGTGGGCTCGGAGATCCCATTGGGTACCAGGGATCAGACCCCAGTTGGCGGTGTGTGAGGGAAGCGCCTTACCTTGCTGTACTATCACTCCAGTCCCCATTTGAGACTTGTTTGAAAGAGTATTATTTTATTCCTAAAATTTGCTTTTTCTGGTTCTCTTGATTTTTGGGGGAGGTGGGTGAGGTGGGGTGGGTAGTTGTCACACTGAACAGTGATTTACTCCTGGCACTGCATTCTGGGGTCACTCCCAGTGGGCTCGGGACCATATGGGGTGCCAGGGATGGAACCCTGCTCAGCTGTGTGCAAGGCAAATGTCCTGTCTGATGCACTGCTTTCTGGCTCCTCAAATATTTTTGATAGTTTACTTTAAACTTTGTCCTGTCGTCTTCAACTCTTAAAATCTTACTTAGGCTAAAGAGAGAGTACAGGGGTTAATATGTGATGCTGCTGAACTTGGTTTTATTTGTGGCACTGGATATGGTTCCCAAGGTAATGCAAGGGGTCACTCATGAGTAGAAAGCCGATGTGCACTGCCAGGTGTGACACAATCCCCCACAACAACAACAACAAAAAAACTTGAAAAAACTGAGATCAGAGTACTATATTCCCAGCTCAATACACATTGAATTATGTTTATCTTATATTATTGACAGAATTTCTTACTAAATGTTTATTATTCCAAAGTATAGTATTTTAAGACCCAAATTTTAAAGGCAAATTTTCTTCAAATGCATATTTTTATCTCAACCAAACAGACTGAATTCAGTCTCTTTTTCATTCATCTTACTCTTTGGTATTTCACTGTCATTCTCTATTCTTGTTTGGGCTACACTAGTGTCCTCGGGGATCATTTCTGAGGCTTGTAGGACCCTGTGTGATTCTGGGGATCCAACCCACATAGACCGTGTGCAAGGCAAAATGCCTTCTGAGCCCTACTGTCTTTAGGCTTCCCGTCCACCCCCACCCTGTTTCTGGGCCACACCCAGTGGTGCTTACAACTTCATCCTGGCAGGCTCAGCAGACCATGTGGGGGACCAGGAATCGAGCCCAAGTTGGCCACGTGCAAGGTGGTAAATGCCCTGCCCACTGTACTATCACTTCAACCTCTAGGTTCTCTGTTCTATTTTTTGGTTTGTTGGCTTGGCTTTTGCTTTTGTTTTTGATGCACACCTATCAGTGCTCAATTGGGGTTACTTCTGGCTCTGCACTCAGGAATCACTCAGGGTGGATGCCAAGGAGGATTGAAGCTGGGTCTGCCTCTAGCAGGGCAAGAGCCCTCCTTGCTATACTGTCTCTCTGATCCTACATTTTCTATTCTTAATCCCACAATTAAGAGATGTCTTCTAGATGCAGACAGATCTATATCTTTTTTTCCCCTGTTTTTTGAGGGCTTTTGCGTCACACCAGGTGGTGTTCAGGGCTTGCTGCTGGCACTGTGCTCAGAGGTCATTCTGGGCTGTGTTCAGTGGACTGCATGTGGTGCTGGGCATATAACCAGGGTCAGCTGCTGGAAGGCTAGTTCTGTAACCTTATCTCTCCGGTCCCAAAGACAGAGGTTATTTTTTACTTTTTTGCCACAGTGGGGTTGGGGAGGGCGCACTCGTTGGTGCTCTGCACTTACTACTGTCTCTGTACTCAACTAGGGATCAAAAAGCTGTGTAGGAACATTAGCACTGTAGCACTGTCCTCCCATTGTTCATTGATTTGCTCGAGCGGGTACCAGTAACGTCTCCATTGTGAGACTTGTTACTGTTTTTGGCATATCGAATATGTCATGGGTAGCTTGCCAGCCAGGCTTTGCCATGGGGGTGGGACTCTCGGTAGCTTGCTGGGTTCTCCGAGAGGGGTGGAGTAATTGAACCCGGGTCAGCCATGAGCAAGGCAAATGCCCTACCTCCTGTTGCTATTGCTACAGCCCGTAGGAACATTAAGTGTAGGATAACATAAAAATACGAAAAATAAGTTTGATTAGGTCTGTTTGGTTTGAACTGTGAGAAAATCAAATAGTCCAAATACAAAATATTTAAATACAAATTTAAAAGCCAAGGGCAAAAATCCTTTTTTATTTTTTTTTCTCAAGTGAGTTGTTTCAAACATGTCTCATATACCTTTATAATAGACATGTATATAGTGTTAAAATATTTACATATATATGTATGGTTGTAAACTGATAGTCTGTGGGTTTTTTATTTCAGATATGAATATCACTGGGCAGATGGAACAAACATAAAGAAGCCTATTAAGTGCTCTGCACCAAAGTATATTGATTACTTGATGACCTGGGTTCAGGACCAGTTGGATGATGAAACATTATTTCCATCAAAAATTGGTACAGTTGTTTCGTTTAATTGAGATCCATTGTGATTCATCTCATTTTCCTTGTTTATAAAGCTTGTTGACTTTCTAGTCCAGAAACCATACCATATCTATTAAAAGTGTTCTACTTACTCATATCAAACTTATTATAAAACCTCTAATTTTAAGCAGTGTGAAGATCACGTACTAACTATCTGGCAAAAGAGATTGGAAATTGAGTAGGGATCCAGTATTATCTGCCATATTCATTCATTTCTAGTTTAGGCAAAGGGTATATATGACATATCTAGTTTATTCATATTTCACATTATACTTATTGTAGAGTTTGAATGTTGACCATAGCTTGAATCTTAGAGTTTGTTGAGTCAGATGAAAATGAAATAAGAATTAGGAGGATTGGGTTATTACTAACATTTTGTTTTGTTTTGTTTGGGGGCCATATTCAGCAGTGCTCAGGGCTTACTCCTGCCTCTGTGCTCAGGGAGCACTCCTAATGGGGCTCGGGGAATTATGTGTAGTGGCAGGGATTGAACCTGGGTTGGTCACATGTAGGGCAAGCACTCCATCCACTATACTATCTCTCCAGATCTTCCAGGTGGAAATAATTTACTCCTAAAGTTCATGATTTTATTTTCTCATACTTCGTACAACCTTGTTTTTGATTTGCTCTTTTAACAATAACTTTTTCGCTATAGTTTTCTGAAGAATGGTGTGGTGGAGGTAGTAATGTGAATAGCTGCTGTTATTATGATTTGCTTTAACATGTTTATTAAATATTCTGTAGATTTTGTGAATTAACATTGTTATCATCACCTATCAACACATATAGCATGTTACCATTGTAATCCTTTGACCATAACATGTTTTTGTGTTTGGGGTAGGTGGGGAGTGTGGCAGAGCGTGAGCCCTCCCACTAGTATTCCCAGTTACAACATGACAGAATTTTAAAACTTTTTTCTTTTGACCCAACTACAGACTCACAAGACTTATACAAAGAATATGTATCTTCTAGCTTCTTGAGTTTCAATACTTTACCATTTGATTTCTCTCGTCACCACTTTATTTTTCCTGGACTGTTTGAGACTAAATTGAAAGCATAATGCTCCTTAATCTATTTGTGAGCCAACATATTTTTCTTTAATAAAAATCACAGTGCAATAATTATAAGATAGGAAATTAACACCAACATAATACCATTGGCTTTTTTTTTTTTTAGGAGTACTGTTATTTATTCAGCCACTGATTGGCTGATTGAATTGTGCATGAACTCCACTTTTTTTTTTCATTTTTTATAATTTTATTTATTGAATCACCATGAGAGCAGTTATAAAGCTTTCGGGTCTAAGTCTCGGTCATACAGTGAAATATCGTCCCTTCACCAGTGCCCATTCTCCACCCCCAACAACCCCAGTATACCCCCATCCCACACCCTCCCCCTACCTGTAGGGCAGATGATTTCCACATTACTCTCTCTCTACTTTGATCACATTCAATATTTTGACGCCAGACCCACCATTATTATTTGAGATTTTACCCCAACACTCAGGTCTGCTGAAAAGGCAACCGTAGACAATTTGTGTTCTATTGCTGGTTATGAATAGCATATGATGTCGCGTGGCTGCAGTAGGGCCATGTGATTTTGAAATTCTGAAATTTTAACACTTAAATCTGGAGGGATTTCTGCCAAAACCTGCTGGGTTCCAAGATTTGCTCCTGAGTCTCTGGTATCATGGCCGGTAAGCAGCTTGATCAGGAGCCAGAGAGGCCGTTCATGGGCGATGACTTGGTGTCTCGTTGGGGTGGGGAGGACAGGACCGGCTCCATCCCCATCCTGTGAGGCCCAAAATGTCTTGTCACTGCAGGCCCAAACCTGACTGTATCATTCGCTATTTTAAGATCTTATATCTGATTTTTTTCAATAATATCTTTATAGGAAAAGAATATTTTTTAGCATTTGCTTTTATCCTGCTTTTATCCTTTATCTTCTATTTTTTTATTTTGGCTTTTTGGGTCACACCCGGTGGTGCACAGGGGTTACTCCTGGCTCTGCACTCAGGAATTACCCCTGGTGGTGCTCAAGGGAACATATGGGATGCTGGGAATCAAACCCAGGTGGGCCACATGCAAAGCAAACAAGCAAACACCCTACCCGCTGTGCTATTGTTCCAACCTCTACTTGTCTTTTTTTTTTTTTTATTTTTCTTTTTGGGTCACACATGGCGATGCACATGTGTACAGTTATGTGTCAAGTAGTAATCCATGGATATTATTTTTGGCTTTTTCAATAAGTGTTAATTTATGTTACTGTTTAACCTTATATTTCCTTGCTCTCATTTTTGCAATTAATAGGTTTTTTTTAAAATTTCTATTTATAAGGTGTCCCATTTCCGAAGAATTTCATGTCTGTGGCAAAAACTATACTCAAACGCCTTTTTAGGGTTTATGCTCACATTTACCATCAGCATTTTGACCCTGTGATCCAACTTCAGGAGGAAGCACATCTCAATACTTCTTTCAAGCACTTTATTTTTTTTGTCCAGGTAAGTTAGATTAGCACTCAGTGTACTAAGCAGTTATTGACAAATGTCTTAATGGTGTACTGCCATCTTTATTGCTAGTGTAAAATTTGTATAATTTCTTTCATCTTTATCATCTCTGTGTCATGATGACAAGAACTACTGACCTTCTGAGTTCTGTTTATAACCAGACTGGTGGCATGAAAGTCTTAAAATGTTTCTACAACTCTTGCATTGGATTTATCTCAGTTAATGAGCTACAATTGGAGGATGGATAAGGAATCTGTGAAGTTTGGTAGACTCAGAGATGAATTTAGTTCCTGTTTACCCTACATCATTTTTAGCACACTCAGACATGAAATAGGCTTTCAGTATTGTTTTTTCTCTTTCCAGATTATCATTTTAAAAATGAGTAATTTTTAGTTGAAACTACCCAAAATGATCCAAAAATGTCCCAAAGAGTTTTGCCGTTTTAGAGATCCAGAATTCTTGATCTGACTCCTTTGTTGACCATCATTCCATCCTGCTGTAACAGAGAAACAATAAGCAGAAATGAGAAAGGGGTGGAAATGAATAAACTGATCACTCTTTTGGAGAGAGGCTAAGAGTAAATATCTCAGGAGATCTTTAGAGAAGTTCAGGACTTGACTCTGTGCTTTCTTCTGTTTCGTTTCTTACATGTGATAAATCAGTCGTTTTTAAAATTTTTTTTAAATGTTTTTTTTTTTTGGGGGGGCCACATGCAGTGGTCTCTGGGTAGACATCCACTTAATTGGCATCTTCTTTTTTTTGGTAATAAAATATTAATCATTTAACATCAAAGAAGCAGTGCTAAAAGCAACATAAGAATGAAGATATTTTACTTAAAGAAAATGTCTCTTTATGTGAAGAAATTTATTTGGGGGCTCATGGGGAGGATTAGGGCCATATCCAGTGGTGCTCAAGGTTTAGTCCTGGCTCCTTGCTCAGTGATGATTTCTGGCAGTTCTCAGGAGGCCAGATCCAGTGTCAGAGATTGTAGGGTTTGACTGTTTAACTCCAGTAGTATCTCTCAGTCCTATCAGAGAATTTATGATTCAACTACTATGAAACAAAATGTCTACAAATTTCTTTGAAAAATTACAAATCCTAATCAGATGATATTCGATTTAGAACTCATAACTAATATATAATTATCTTCTAATGCTTTGCTCTAATACTTAGTATAGACTTCCCCTATGTCCTGTTTCCACTAGAGAAAAATGTGTCTAATTTTCCTCTATTCATACACATCACTCTGAGGGGACACATTTTCTGTCTGAAATTTCATATGGCACTTTTTCTTTGATTATTATTTATCAAAATTACTGCCCTCAGCAGTTACTTACTGTGATATCTTATAAAACCTGTAGTGACAAAGAAGGTGTTTTTCCAAAGTTTGCATCTCTTTGGTTTAGGCAGAATATAACTTGTGAATCTCAGTTCTGGGTTGTTTAGGAGAAGATAATCTTAGTTTTTCCTTACTCTTACTATCTTAAAGTATACTCTGTTTTCCAAGTGTTAGGGACTGATGCTTGGTATTTGCATGTTGGTTTACATCTAAGACACTGTAATCTCTGTAAAAGTGGGTCCATTATTAGTCTTTGTTTTAATAAAAGTGGGGTTTCTGGTGTAGATCTCATCTTTAGAGACTCCTGGTGTGGCCCTTCTCTAGCTGAATTCCTCTCTAGAGAGGAACCATAAAGCCAGAAGCTTGCCAACAGAGATACTTCCTGATATGTGCTTGGGTTCCTGTGACCTCAGAATTGCCTTCTTTACAGGATCCAAAGTGCATTTTCAGGTCTTTATGAATCTTTTCTTTGAATCTGTCTTTTGAGAGGTCATATCTTGGATGTGTATACCTCTAGACCCACAGTGTCACCAGGTAGTAGCTGAACTGTGAGAGTGTGTGGACGTTGTCTATATGAATATAAGTCAGCCAGGTTGTCCCCCGTTGAATTACAGAATGGGGCTTGGCTTTGGAGGACTGGGGAGATTTGCTGAAGATCAGGGACTTGTTCTGCTTTTGTCACTACTTTCCAATACAGACTCCTAAGGAATTTTAAGAATTTTGCCTCTTTTTTTTTTTTTTTTTTTTTTTTTTTTGCTTTTTGGGTCACACCTGGCAGTGCTTAGGGTTACTCCTGGCTCTGCACTCAGGAATTATTTCTAGCTCTGCACTCAGGAATTACACCTGGTGGTGCTTGGGAGACCATATGGGATACTGGGGATCAAATCTGGGATAGACTGTGTGCAAGATAAAAATGCCCTACCCACTGTGCTATTGCTTCAGTGCCCCAGAATTTTACATTTGAATTTGCTTTCCAGTTCACTGTGAATGTATGTTTGTCGGTCAGGAGAATAGAGTTTATTTAATTCAGTAATAGATTAACTTAATGTGAAATTTAAGAATTTAGTCACATGATAGCACAGTGGTAGGGCATTTGCCTTGCATGCAGCCAACATGGCCGACCCGAGTTCGATTCCTCCCCCCTCTCGGAGAGCCCGGCAAGCTACCGAGAGTATCTCGCCCACGTGGCAGAGCCTGGCAAGCTACCCGTGATGTATTTGATATGCCAAACACAGTAACAACAAAGTCTCCAATGGAGACGTTACTGGGCCCGCTCGAACAAATCGATGAACAACGGGAGGACAGTGACAGTGACAGTCACATGATACATTTTCATTTTTTAACTCTTGGTCCAGACTCCATAGATGATAAATTATAATGCTTTGCTCTAATAGTTAGTACATGTGATCAGTATTAATAAATGAATTAAATTGAGTGTTCAGAAGTGGCCAACTTTGGTAAATATTGGATCAAACATGCAGACAGTTACATTATAATTTACAGTTCAAAGCAACTCTATTCATATTTGAACTATAGAATTGCAGGTGTGGGGCTGGGGAGAGAGCTTGGAGACCCAGAGGAAAAAGGGACTGGAAAGCATGCTTGTCTGTGGTAAGCCCATTTCATTCCCAGCATTCTGTTGTCCCCTAGCAAGGCTGGGAGCGCCCTCCAGGCACAGGTGCTCCGAGGTGTGCACATGCCCACACACAAGTAACCCCCTCCCCCCCATGGTGAGTGGAATTTCTAAGGAAAGGCATATATTAATGAAGATTCTCTTATTTGTTCTTTACAGAATTTAAATTGTGATTGGTGGACTCCACATTGTTCTTGTTATTCTCATATATTTCATGGTAACTTTGCAGATATGTTTATAACCAGTCTTGCTCTAAATAATAATGCTGAAATTTGCCTCAGATACTCGGTGTTCTTGACCTCTACTTGGTTGTATTTAAATGGTGCTCATGTTTACCCTGTGCCAGGAATTACGTCAAGTGTTAACACAGTTCACATTTAGTTGCCAGTAGAATTTTTTTGAGGTGGAGATTTATTCTAATATTAGGAATGTAAAGGTAAAGGCCCTCCCGTTGATCATCGATTTGCTCGAGCGGGCCCAATAATGTCTCCATTGGAGACTTTGTTGTTACTGTGATTGGCATATTGAATACATCATGGGCGGCTTGCCAGGCTCTGCCGTGCGGGCGAGATACTCTCGGTAGCTTGCCGGGCTCTCCGAGAGGGGCGGAGGAATCGAACTCGGGTCGGCCATGTTGGCTGCGTGCAAGGCAAACGCCCTGCCACTGTGGGAATGTAAAACATGATCCTAGAAATGATTTGAATAATTTACCTAATGCATAGGTAATAGAAAAAAATTGGAAAAGATTTGATTTCTAGTTACTTTAAAACTAATTTCTAACAATTGTTGGTAGAAATATACTTTGTAGTAGAATGTAATGCATTTTTGTTCTTTTCTCTGCCTTTCTTTGACATGTCTAGGAATTCAACCTCATTGACAGGAGAGAACTTGCACCACTCCAAGAACTGATTGAAAAGCTCACCTCAAAGGACAGATAAACGATGCAGAACTGTGCAAATTGTTCTTCACATGAAGCTGTGTGGAGTGTATTTGTATTTTTGTTGTATTTTATTTTTATCTCGTTTGTCTTTGGGGGGCTTGTCTGGGTTCTCTTTTCTGAATAACTGAAACCATATGCTATTGTTAGTGAAAGCCAAGAACAATTCGCTATACATTTGATAGTGGTAAATATTGTCTTAATGACTTGCAGTATGTATGTGTGTATATATATATTTTATATATACACATATCCTATATATTGATTTTGGTTACTTGTGGAATTTATGACATGTTTGGAAAGAAATTGCTTTTTAATTGGACTGCTGATGGACTGGGGGTTCTGTGTTATATAATTTGTGGCCAATTTTTTATGTCCCCAAAAGACTTATGTTTTTAAGTGCCTTGGCAGGCTCACTTCTGAGGTGCAAAGCACAGACTTAAAACTAACAGGGCTTGAAACAATATTAGGATTAATAATTATCCAGGGCACTTACTGATGCATGTTTAAAATAACTATGATAAAAGCCATAGTTTACCTAAATTGGTAATCTTCAGCTTTTATTACATTGAAGAAACATACTGGTAAAGGTATGCATGTAGAACATAAAAGTAGTATTCTTATTTTTTATATTGATAATAATTCTGTTCAGCAGATGTTTAAAGTTCTACAAGCAGGTCTTTTTTCCATCTCTTGATATTTCTGTGATAGTGAAACTTGATGTTGAAATGTAATACCTGTTGCATTTTGACTTCTACATGTTAACTGCACTGTGGGTGTAAAAATTCAGGTTATATAGAAGCTTGCCATCTTCAGAGGTGATACTGAACTGTGAGGTTTCTTAGCACTTGCCAAATGAGCCATAAATCTGCAGAATCCCCTTCACTTTGAGGAGGAGGAGATAGGAGTGAATGTTAGATTGTGTGAGTTGCACGGATTATTTTGGAGAGGTAGGGATGATACCATGTATGGGGGAGCTGAGTTTTAGAAAGTCCTATCTTAGAACCCGTAAATAGAATGGCATGAAAGTTTTTAATCAATTCCTTATACAAATAGTCTAAGAGACTATCTTTTAGTAAACAACTTCCATGAGAAGTTAAAAATAAATTATTAATTTTAGGTATAGACATTAGACGTGGAATTTAAGGACTTTGTGGAGGAAATTAATTACTTTTCAGCAATTCCATTCAGTGAATGGAGCTGGTTTTTGCCTGTCATTTTTAAATGATAGCGAGAGTATGTTCTTTGCATTATTATAGACCCAAATTTTGAAGCTTATGTCATCTGATTTTTCTACTATGAAGAGAAATATTTTTCTTTTCAGTGATATCAAATAATGAAAGTGCTAATTTAAGTTACCAATTTTTGTAATTTATTTTTCCATGGTTAAAATTTTTAGTGAATCACCTCCTTAGTAAAATACTCAAAAATTTAGTTTTAAAAATAAAGTGACATTTTTTCACCTGTTTTATTCTTGAAAAATAACTCCTTTCAGATTTAGTTTTAATTTTGTCATTTCTGAGAAATCTTTTTTTTCATTGAGACATTTTTTTCATTTAAAAATACGTTTTTGTAGAGCTGAAATCTTACTCTAAAATTATATAAACTAAAAAACACTAAGGAAAGAATCTAAGGTGAAGTCTTTTTTTTTTGCTGCTAAAAATGCTAACAACTAGAGCAGTGATGATAAAATAATGCCATTTCAGTTATTATCACTAGCCCTTTATTATCAATCGCCTTTTTCTCTGTTTCATTTCTTGTAGTTATCAGCCAATTACCAGTAGTCAAATAATGGGAGAACCTGGCAGAGGCAAATATATTGCACATTCACTGGTAAAAACTGATTAATAAACTGCACTGAGAACTAGCTGATTTCCTTAAATCTTTGACTAGCACATAAATATTTGTCTTCCATACATTTGGTTCATATCACCAGGAGTAACAGGGGTAACAATAGTCAAGTGTAGAGGGAAAGGTGAAATACTGTGCTTCCTCCTTTAAGCCTTATAAAAGAGTACACTGTAAAAATGGAAAAAATGTTTCTCTAAATGAATACTTAGTACTAGGATATGCTTTCCCACCATATGTAGATAGGTGTGTGTTGTCACTGTGTGAGAATCTCAGGTGCCTGCTACTGAGTATTCCTTTAAACAGAGGGTAATGGGAAGTAAGGAGATATGTATGTGTATATATGGTAGTAACATAGAGAAATTCTTCCCAAGTGAGTCCAGGCAAAATCTAGAGCATGTCAGAAATATCCAATTTAATTAAAAAAAATTGTTGATTCAGTTGTTCCCATGGTTGTTACCAAGATAACCCTTTATAAAATGAGGATCAGTTCTCCTCGTTTTGAAGCAGCAGGGCTTGTTTTAAATTAGCTACTGGATTCTTTACAGATTAATATATAAATAACTATGATAAAGACGCCCCATGATTTTTATAGAGAAAAGTTATCTTGTTTCCTTATTAAAATATCCCATAAAACAAAATAGTAAACAGAAATGTTTATTTGAATCAAGTTTTAAAGGTTATTTTAAATGATGGAGCCAATGGCTGGGGGTGGAGGGATTAACAGTGGAAATCTTTTAGTTAGCAGTAGATGGTGCTACTAGCCTTCATTTGACTTAATTATATTAGACTGCACTTAAACACTAAGGGTGTGCTAGTCAAGAGTGTGTGCTGACAGACTTTGGAGGTCACTATTTACCCATCGCTTTTTGCCTTTTTTGGCTTTTGTAAGTTCTCGATGGTCAACATAAAATGTTTTGAGTAGATGTGTTTAATAAGTAAGTACTTGGTTTACCGGGAAGAACAAAGCACTACAGTCTTAACATTGAGGAAGTACAAATGGTGTTATGACGATTTATACTTTACATGGAATTACCAAACTCCATATTATGGATTAGCATTTTCCAATATTTCATATCCTAAACATCCAAATAAGTTGATCATCAGACTGGTTCTTTTGGGATCCTTTTTACCCAGCTATGCCCTAAAGGTGCAATGTATTTGGAGTGCTTTCAGAGAAACACTCTGAGAATTGGCTGATGACTGTGTAAGAAGACCTGTATGTGTTTTGTCTTCCAAACCTGTTTAGTATGTCCCATTCACCAAACTGTTTTCTTAGAACTAGAAGTTACTTTTTAAAAATGTGCCATAGATTCTGAATTTGCAAAAAACAACTCTAAATTCGCAGAAGAGTGTTTTGAGAATCATTTAATAAAGGAATGGTTTCTTGATGTCATTACTTTCAAGTAGACAGTATCATTTGGGTGTATAGATTATACTTTATTACTTTAAAGTTAAATATGGTAGCTTTTAAAACTCTTGTTTTCTATTTTTTGTATCTTTCTGGTAACCAGAATTCTGTCTTGACTACTATAGAATTGTTGTTATTGAAGGGAAAATAGTTGGGGGGAAATGGAATTGATTATTTACGGTAGAAGTAATTTAAGGAAACAGCCTTTACCTTCATCAATTTTTCCTCCCTAACATATTTTTACTCAGATGAACAATTTGATTTTTGGTTTGGTTTTGGGCCACACCCAGTGGTGCTCAGGGCTTACTCCTAGCTGTGTGCTTAGGGATCACTCGTGGTGGTGCTTTGGGACCATATGTGGTGCTGGGATCAAACTGGGATGACAAGTGCCTTAACCCCTCTACTATATTTCTAGCCTCAGCAATTAGAATTTAAAGATTGGGTGTCACTGTAGAAAAAAATAATTCTGAATTTAAACTTCCTTATCACAGATAAAGTATTTAAAATTGTATTACTGTACCACATGTAACTTTTAACGTTTTGAGTGTCCTTCTGCAGATTGGGCTACACACAGGGTTGCATTAAAATACGTTTAACTATATGCCACGGGGGAAAATTTAACTTACTTTGAGACTTATCTGTGATATTCAAGATTATACATATGGTGTTTTAATTGTAATAGGGGTTGCACCTTGAAGTATTCAGCTGGGAAGAACTTCAGGGCCACTGGGGCCACAACTGTGGTGCTTTGGGGATGGAGGGGTGGAACGCGTATGGATTAACCTAGACCCTCACACTTTGAGAGCATGTGCACTGTCAATTGGAATACATCCCTGGCCCTTCTGCTTCTTAGAAATGCTCCTCTAGATCTATATTTTATGGACCATTTAAATATCAGGGGTTTGTTAATGTTAACCGTAGCATTTACTGTTTTCAGCATTCAGTTTAATGGTATAGAAATAAATGTTTAGCGATAAAGCTCTCAAGATTTAATGGAAATTTTAAAATTTGAGATGTAATAACTGCATACAATTTGAATTTTTAATGATTTCTTACTAAACTACACAATTTATTTTGAAGATAGAAAACTGCTCCAGGTCTCTACTTTCAGCCGAACTAATAGATTTTACAAAAGAGAAAATAGAAATTTAAAGTGTTGAGTACTCAGTTTTGCTGCTATGATTTTTTTCTGCATATAAAACCATACAATAAAACAATTTGGAATTATGATTCTCAGAAATAGTAAAAACATTGACCTTTCCCCCTCTATGATATATTTACTTACCATTGCCTCTCCTTGGAAATAAATTTCTTCTTAATATATTGATTTTCTGTATCTCATCCCACTCCCATCCCCAGCACACCAGTTTGGAAACAAAACAGTGATTGGGTCTTGTCATAATCCTTAAGTATTTTCTGTTAATACGTAGATTGCAGTTTAAGTGGAAGATGCAATTTACATATGCAGTTTTGGTTTTAGTTAAATTATGTCACTGAAGCTGAATGAGATTACCGTGGTAGTTAAAATAATGTTGATGTTTAACTTCTCATATATCTTTAAATTCTTATACAATGATGTCTCATAGCTTTGCACATATTTTCATTTGTTTCTAAATATCTTAATTGTGCAGGCTGTAAACAACATCACTCCATTTTAATTTAGAAACAATATTTCCTTAATTTGTTCTGCAGAAGTTAACTATTTTTAGGGGGAACTAGTTTTTTACGGCCACTAAATTGTATTCATTATTTTTGCACATGTGTAAGTAGATTGGTAAGGGCACTTATTTTATGGGGAACAAGTTACTTTTCTGTTTGAACACTTCCTATGCTTTATTACTGACAACTTTCTAGAAATAGTGTCATAAGATCTAGATTGAGAGAGAATACATTCTTCAGTGTGAGAAGTTTGATGGATCATTTCTGAGGTCAAAGGTGTAAGAACAGAGCCAGGGCAGAATATGAAATTAGGGTAGCCTTCACATTATGCAAATATTGCAGAGTGTGTAAGATGGTCCCACTCACATGGAGACAGACAGTTACTCTCTATATTCAAGTAGCTGGAAGGGGAAAAAAGATGATAAAATAGGAAATGCAAATGGGTGCTGTATTGTAAACTGTGCCAAGATTACTCAGATTGTAATTGTTACTGATAAAAGAGTAACAGCTTCATTTTTATTTCAAAAGGGTTACTGAATGTTAGAAAAGCTCTAAGATGTTTTCATTGAGAGCTGTAAATAACATATACAGAAATGTATGTGGCGGGATGGGAAATATTTTAATTCTAGATTTTTTTTTAAAGAAACTGTTTATTTAAAATATTAATAAATAGTTATGTTTGGCCATGAATTCTGATTTGCATTACTATTTATTTTTGCAGTTATTCCTATGCTGAACATATTCCTAGAGAAATATTTAGGGTTCTCAACAATTCTGTTATTGTATCTTTAATAAAAGTAAAATTCAGAAATTGTGTAAGTCACTGATTAGAAGTAGGATTTCTAAACCCAAATATAGGGCCAAAGTGATAGGAAGCTGGTAGGGCTTTTTGTCTTGCACGTGGCAGATCTGGGTTTGATTCCCTGCATCCCTTATGGTCCCCCGAGCACTGCCAGGAGTAATTCCTGAGTGCAGAGGCAGGAGTGACCCCTGAGCATCTCTCGTGTGGCCCAAAAAGCCAAAAAAAAATAAAAGTTACAGGACAGAAAGATACGGGGCAATAGAGGGGCAAAGTGCTTGCCTTGCATGTGGATAATCCCTAATTTGATCCCCAGTACCACATGTAGTCCCCCAGGTACCTCCAGAAGTAAACCCTGAGCTCTTTTTTTGTCAAGGGGTCCCAACCACTATGCCTTTCTCTCTCTCAAAAAAAAAAGTACTAGAGGACCTTCATTTTATCCTCATACCTAATTTATAATCAACCTTATCAAACTGATAAATAACTTTACAGAAGTTGTTGATTTTTTCAAAGCCCTGTCTTTAGTATGCCACCTTCCCAAAGGTGAAAAAAGTAACCCCTCAACTGAATGAGTAGTAAAATTTCTCGAAGGAAAGCTTAAGATGTTTAGCATGTTTAACATTCTCTGGGTGCTCCAGTACCATTTTATCTGTAATTCTAATAGCTCAAATTTTCAGAAAATAAAATACTTGTCTTTGGCTCAGAGCAGACAACCTGACCTGAAATTAATGATCTTTAACTCTCAGTTACTGTGAAAATGTTTGGTTGCAATTACTGGTGCTACTTGATTTTATCATCATTGCAGGAGGATTGGCTAACAATAGGTTAAATGTGTATGAGATTTTTTTTACCAATATATATGTGCATATTTCTTTTTTGTTTGTATTTGGGTCACACTTGGTGGTGCTCAGGGTTACTTATGGCTGTGCCCTCTGGGGGTCACTCCAGGTGGGCTCAGGGGACCATATGTGGTACTGGGGATTAAATCAGGGTTGGACTTGAGCAAGGCAAACATCCTACTTGCTGTATTACCTCTCACACTTTAAAAAATGAAGTTTTGGTGCAGTTCTTAGATGTATCTCATATATATGTGCATATATAAATGACTTCTAAAGTGTAAAAAATTTGAACTCGGGGCAAGAGCAATAGTATAGTGGGTAGGGCGTTTGCCTTGCACATGGCCGACCCAAGTTCAATCCCTGACATTACATAGGGTCCCCCGAGCACCAGTAGTAATTTTTTTTTTGGCTTCTTGGGTCACACCTGGCAATGCATAGGGGTTACTCCTGGCTCTGCACTCAGGAATTACCCTAGGTGGTGCTCAGGGATCCATATGGGATGTTGGGAATCGAACCCGGGTTGGCCGCGTGCAAGGCAAACCTCCTACCCGTTGTGCCATTGCTCCAGCCCCCATCAGTAGTAATTCTTGAGTGCAGAGTCAGGAGGAACCCCTGAGCATCGCTGGGTGTGACCCAAAAAGCAAAAAATAAATACATAAAATAAAAAATTTGAACTCCAAAACTGTGAAGTTTTAGATAAGGAATTGTGAACAAAAATTAGTAAAGCGTTCTTAAAAGTGCTTTTTTCTGGGGCTGGCAGGGTGGGGTTAAGGTACTTGGCTTGCACATTGCTGACTCAGGTTCTATGCCCAGCTCTGCCTCTGGCCCTCAGAACACCTACAGGAGTGATCCTTGGGCACAGAGCCGAGTAAGCCGTGAGGACAGGCAGATAAGCCTGCTCCCCCAGAGAAAGGTGCTTTTATCCTTGTATCACCGCAGGTCACATGAGAGAGGAGAATTGGGTTTAACTTGATAACGGATTTGGCGGCTTCTGTGCATGTGTGTACCACTGCCTCCTTCCCGCCAAAAAATCCCCAAACTGACGCAGAGCAGAACAACTCATCACAACATAATTTGGTTAAATGGACAATTCTGCCCTGGTCTTTTCAGTTACCACGGTCAGCTTGGTCTGTGTAGCCAGGCCTCGGGTCTCAGTATTTCACTGGCTAAAGGGAAACGGTTCTTTTCTTGCAGAAATACTTCCCCACCGTGTCCAAAATTTTTAAAAACACTTCATGTAGAACTATGGGGCAGGTTATCTTTCTCTGGGTTCTTTGGTATAATAAATTCGCATGAGACACAAAGCAGAAGAAACGTTTAATGAAGCACCTACAGCAGCTGGAGCCGAAAAATGCTAAAAAAAAAAATGAATCTCAAGGACCGTTTACACCCACGTGCCAAGAGTCGCCAAGGCCAAGGGGCTTGTTTCTCTTTTCTTTATTTTGACTTTTTGGGTCACACCTGGCAATGCACAGGGGTTACTCCTGGCTCTGCACTCAGTAATTACCCCTGGCGGTGCTCGGGACCATATGGGATGCTGGGAATCGAACCCAGGTTGGCCGCGTGCAAGGCAAACGCCCTACCCGCTGTGCTATTGCTGCTGAGTACATGGCGTTCACAGGCCCGGAATCTCCGGGGTGTGCCGGGCACAGGGCTGGGGCAGGCTCAGGGCTCCCGGATCTACGGGGTTCTCGCTCGGAACGCCCAGAGCGGCAAGTTTTGGGGGGGCGGCAGATCCCAATCAAGAGCAGAGGACGACGGGGCGGCAGGCAGGGGCCTCCCTTAACTCGCACCCGTGCGGCGCGCGGCGCGCCTGCCCATCTGGGTAACTGCAACGCAGGGTCTGCGGCGCGGGCCGAGCGCCACGTCCTTTCCCGACACCCGCCTACCCCGGGCCCGTTCCTACCTCTAGAAGGTGGGAGCCTGCAGCATCCCGGCGCAGACGTCGGGTCTGATCAGCAAACGCGCCTCCGGGGCGTGCCGCAAAGCCCCGCCTCCCGCCCGCTGAGGGCGGGCGGGTCGCGTCCGACTCCGGAACCAAAATCCCGCGCGGCCTCGGGAGCGCGGGAAGCGCCGGAAGCGCGCGCGCGGGCGGGCGAGCCGGCTGGCGACCGGAGTCTCGCGAAGCCCGGGCGGGCGGGCGCGGGACGGGGACGGGGCGGAGAGGGGCGGGCCGTCCCCGGCGGGCGGGCGCGCGCGGCTCGTCACACAGCCCCGCGCGCCAAAATCAAACCCCGCGGCCGGCCGGCGAGTTGCAGCCGAGCAGCCTCTCGCCGCGCCGTCGCCCCGCTGCGCCACTTCCCAGCGCTTCCTGCGCGCCCGGCCGCCATGGCGACTCCGCCCAAGAGGAGCTGCCCGTCTCCCGCCGGCAGCCCCGAGGGAGCCCGCATCAAGAAGATCTCCATCGAGGGCAACATAGGTGAGGACGCGGCTTCTCGGGGGGCTTCTCCGCCGAACGCCCCGGCCTGATTCTCTGCCCCGCGCGAGCGCCGGCGGCACCTGGACGCTGTGTCCTCGGCGCCCGCGAGGCTCCGGCCCGCCACCGTCTTGCGCTTCCGGGGGGACCTGCGTCTTCCTCTAGCGACCCCCACACACACATACACAAAGGGCTGGAGCCATAGCACAGCGGTAGGGCGTTTGCCTCGCATGCGAGCGGCCCGCCTGACCCCGGGTTCGGTTCCTCCGCCCCTCTCGGAGAGCCCGGCAAAGCTACCGAGAGTATCTCGCCCGCGCGGCAAAGCCTGGCAAGCTCCCCGTGGCGTAGTCGGTATGCCAAGCACACACAGTAACAACATGCAGTGTCCTGCGGATTGGACCCGGCGGAGTGTTGCGGGGTGAAGCCGCCTGTGGCACCGCAGGTGTTGCGTGGCGCCCTGGGGTGCTTTCACGGTGCTCTCGCGAGCAGGCCCGGGTTACGGTGGCCCTGAATCGGGTTTCTAGGTTGGTGATGGGGTGGAGAGGAAAGGAATTCTGCGGAGGGGGAAGTAGCGAGGTGGTTTAGGAACTTATTGAAGAAGTTGTTTCCAAGAAATAAGCATCTGCAGTTTTTTTTTTTTTAAATTCCTTATTTTGCAAGAATATGCCAGTTTGCAAAACCCGTCTTCCAGATGTGGATGTTGGGGGTTGCTCTTAATTGCTGGTGAATTTGAATAGGACGTTTATTTTTAATAGAAATAAGGATTAAGCATCCTATCAGTGGAAATTTGTTTTTGGTTTTAGACCTCCCAGTAATATAACTCTTCGTTCTCAGCCCCACATCTTGGAAAACCATGGGTTGTGATTCAAAAATCGCTAAGGTTTCTGTTACCTTTTTTTTTCGGACCTTAGGGGAGCAAACCAAGGGCTTTGTTTTTATGTAAGGTGTGAGCTTTACAATGAGTCACAGACACAGCTCTCTGTTCTCTTAACATTTTATAGAATTTTTTTTTTCCCTTTTGGGTCATACTGAGCAATTCTTACTCCTGACTGCGCTCAGAAATTCTGGTGGTGCTTGAGAGACCATGTAGGATGCCAGGGATTGAACCTGGGTCGGCTGCCTGCAAAGCAAACGCCCTCCCCGATGAACTGTCTTTTGGGACTCCAATTTAACTTATTTTTAAAGTAAAGATAACATTAATTTACATGATCATATTTTAGGGAGCAATATCACAACCTTAGGGTGTTTGCCTTGCTCAAGACCCGGGTTCAATTTCTCCGCCCCTCTCCGAGAGCTACCGAGAGTATCCCACCCGCATGGCAGAGCCTGGCAAGCTCCCTGTGGCGTATTTGATATGTCAAACACAATAACGCCAAACACAGTAACAACAAGTCTCACGATGGAGACGTTAGTGGGCCCGCTCGAGAAAATCGATAAACAAAGGGATGACAGTGACAGTGACAGTTTATGTTCATGACCCAGATGGCGGCAGACAGCTTCCTGCATGTCGTTTGGAAAGCTATATCTGTATTGCAATTCTTCTATTTCCTACCTCAGGAAACCTAACTTGTGCCTGAACACTTCCTGTTGTGACAGAAATGTTTTGACTCTGATGAGTACTGGCCGTTGATGCATGTGGCACATGTTCTAAATTCTTACCACATTCAAAGCACTTGTGCCTTCCTTAAAGTGTCAAGTCTGGAGAGATAGCGCAGTGATCAGGTGTACGTGTCTTGCAAGCCCAGTGGCCCAGGTTTGATCCCCTGCGCTACATGGCCTACCATATACCCTAAGATATAGTCCTGGAGACCCCCAAGCACCATTGGGGTAACCCTGATAGACCCCATCACTGCTGGGCCAGAACAGGCAGGGGTCTCTGAGATCTAATATTGAACCTTATGACCTGATTGGCCAAATACCCGGGAAGTGGGCCCCAAGTCCCCCTTGAGCACTACTTTGGGAAGCCCCCAAAGGGCAAGATTTAGGCTGGGGATGTAGCTCAGTGGTTGAGCGTGTGAAACTCTGGGTTCGTTTTGTTTGGGTAGATACACCACAGACCTGACAGTGCTTCGGAGCGGCATCCCACTCAGTGCTGGCTAAGGCAAACGCAAGGCCAGCGAGTGCCTGGCTGATGGATGGGGCATCAAACACAGGCCAGTAGCAGCATTCCGAAGAGGAGAAAGAGCTGTATGCCCTCACAGAAAGTGTGTTTCGTTGTTCTGGTACTAAGTTGCTGATTGTGGAGAGCATCCTATAATACACTCATTTCCTCTTAAGATAGATTGTGTTTTAGTTTTTCAAAGTTTGGTTTGGGTCCAAACCTGGCAGTACTTGGAGAGGCGGGGGGGGGGGGGGGGTGGCCGTGGGGTAGCCAGTCTCTGCTCTTTGGGGCTTGAATTTAGGTATCCGGCATGCTTTGCATAAGCCAGAACGAGTTCTTTGAAGGTGAATGTGTGCTAGTATGATTTCTCACAGTTACTTACTGGGATAAGAAAAAGACCTTATATAAAGAGAGGAGGAAGCAGTTGAACAAAACTGTTTCAAAAGTAAATTGGAACGGGGATGAAGCTGTAGGAAGCCACAGTACAGCCTTTGCATGGGGCTGACCTCAGTTTGAACCCTGGCACCCCATGTGGTCCCTCCCCAGAGCCTGCTGAGCTCACTGCTGGGTGTGCCCCCAACAAAAACAAACAAAAAGTAAACTTGAACAACTGGCTTTGTACTCAGGAATCACTTCTGGTGCTTGTAGGATAACAGTGGTTTGTCCTTTCGCCCTTGCCACAGGGAGCTTAGGTTTATCGGGTTATACCCATCACAGTGCTCCTGAGTCATTCCCATTCCTCTGTGATTATTTTAACTTCTCTGTGCTTTCTTCTCCTACCAGTTAATCACCTTTCCCCCCAATCAGACTGTTAACTTGTAAGGTCAGATCCTTCTAAGGACACTGAACTACAAGGTTAATATTGTCTTTCTCCTCTCCTTATATTTTTGAATAGTTTACTTTAAAGCAATGTCCTTTTTGTGTAGACACAGGAAGACAATATTATGCTTTTGTAACTTGGGAGATAATTGACTCCAAATAATATCACTCTTGGGCATCTGCTTTTTGACTTAAGCCTCAGTTGCCCTTAGACCTCAAAGCAGGGTCTCGACGAGGAACTGAATGGACCCAGGGCAAGCTGTGAGCTACCCTGGCATTGACATGGGCCAGGCCAAAGCGCCACAATACTCAACTATAAGTTAAGAGCATGATGGACAAATGATGTCATGCTCCAAAAGTAACTACGAGATTAGGACCCTGCTAGGGATAGGAAAGACTGATCTAGCCTGAGCACTGTAGTCTGAGATCGAGATGACCCCAGGAGGGCAATCCTAAAAGCTTAGTGTATCTCTTACTGTGTCCATACAAAATGATTAATATTATAAATGCTTATATGTTTGTTGGTCAAGGAGAGGAGAAACACACCCATGGGATTTCGCTCTTGGATGTGTCATCCTGCTGAATGAGTATTTGTCCTAAAAGAAGCCTCCCCTGCGGGAAGGACTTTACCACTATTGGTTGTCACCACACCTATGTGTAAGCCCCAACCCCTCATGCTTTGGGGTTTAACTAAGACTGTAAGAGTGGGCTGGGGGAGCAGGAGAATGAAGGGGAATCCAGAAAGAAAATGAAGTAGCATGGGGGAAGAATCAGAAGAGAATGGAGATGGGAATGGATAAACTACAGCTGACACCAACCAGCCTGGCCCTCTTTTCTTCCTTCATCCTTTCTTCGCCATCGACCTCCCTGGGGTGGGGGAAGCGGAGTGAGACTGTCAATGCAGGTGGTGGAGAGAGAGCCGCCGCGCGAGGCCTTTTTGTATTTTATTTAGAAAATGCATAGGTGCTTGGGAGACTGTATGGGATGCCGGGAATCGAACACGGGTTGGCTATGTGCAAGGCAAGCACCCTACCCACTATACTTACTATCCAGCCCCCCACAGCACTTTTTCTATACATCAGTGAAATTGTGTCATTCCCTGCTTAAAATTCCTCTTTGACTTCTTCACTACTCAAACTGGAAAGAGTCGCAGACTGACAGGTGCACCTGCACAACATTGGCTTACAGAAATGAAAAGATGTTCCTGTATCTTTGGGTCATGACTAAGGCATGGTTACTTGCTCTTCATTATTGCCTTTATGCTTGTTTATATTTCCTCCACTCATACTTATCAGATATATAAAATGAGTGTACATATTGTCATTCTGGGTTTTTTGTTTGCATGTCTTTGTTTCTGGATCACCGCCCAAGTGTGCTGAGGCTACTTCTGGTTCTGTGCTCAGGGATCATTCCTTGGCCCTTCTTGGGGAATAGGGGAGGGGGGAGGGAGGGAGGGACAGTATCTGTGGTAAGGGGGAATCAAACTGTGGTCAGCCTTGTGCAAGACAAATGCCTTACTGGCTGCACTGTCTTTTCCAGTAGGGTGGGGGTGGGGAGGAGAGAGAGAGGAAGGGAGGGAGGAATGGAGGGGAAAGAGAGAAAAATGACATGCTGACCAGAGATGTTTAAAATAGCCATGTTTGGTGGCTTCAGATAAGAAGGGTGTGGCAATCATAGGGAGTATTGCTAGCCCTATATTAAGTGCTTCATATAGTAAATAGTGTCACTAATGTTTTAGGTGAAGGCCTTCCCTACTTTCAATACAATGATACTGATGTTGTAATTTGTATTAATAAAACCACATTCAAGTGCAAGCGACTCGTGGTACATGCTTGTGTCATTTTGTTGACTGTATATCTGAAATTAAGAACTTGAGATAGTAAATGCATAGTACATTTATGATCTGATTATTTCTCCCACTGCGACATGCTGTAGCACCTACACTTCCAATATCAAACTCGTGAGTGATGGAGAAGCAAAGTGCGTGCCTTTTTTCTTTTTTAGGGGTCAGATACCATACATAGAACCTCAAAAGTGAAGCAGAAAAAATGTAACCATTGCTTGTAGGATGTGCTTTGTAGAAATTTTATTTCTTTAACCATGTGTGATACCGTCTGATAGCATCAGAATAATTGGGCCAGAGTAACAGTACAGGGGGTAGGACACTAGGCTTGCCTGCAGCAGCCCTGAGTTTCATCCATCTGTAGCACTATGTCTGGTCCCTTGAGACCTGCCAGGAGTGGTCTTGAGTACAGAGCCAGGAGTAAGCCCTCGGCACCACCAGGTGTGGCCCAAACTACCAAAAAAAAAATCTGCAACATACAAGCAGGAAACACCCAAACCTAAAAGACAAATAATAATCATCCTATTTTCCCCTCTAAATTAGGCATTTAATGTGTCTTAATAATTTTATAGTTTCTTTCTAAAATTTTATAGTTGATAAGCATTTCTAAAGAAAGTACAGGGAATAAAGTGCTTTGAGGTTTGATGTTGTTTGTTAAACACTTTGTTATATTTAATGACCATTTTGGCTTTTTTTTTTCCTGGTAAATTATCTTCCTCAGTTTCAACTTTTCTTTTCATAACAGCTGCAGGGAAGTCAACTTTCGTGAATATTCTTAAACAAGTTTCTGAAGATTGGGAAGTGGTTCCTGAACCTGTTGCCAGGTGGTGCAATGTTCAAAGTACTCAAGATGATGAATTTGAGGTATGAAGAGAAAATGTTGTTGTTTTGTTTTGGGGCCACACTCGGCAGTGGTTAGGGGTTACTCCTGATGTTGCTCGGACTAGATGGGGTGCCGGATCTAAGCTGGCTCGGCCATGTATGAGCAAGTGCCCTACCCACTTTACTATCGCTCCAGTCTCAAAAAAATTTAATAAAATTAATGTCCATGGTTTAAACGATCAGTAGGTACTATTCTCTTGATTTTTTTTTTCTTTTTGGGTCATACCGGGTGATGCGCAGGGGTTACTCCTGGCTCTGCACTCTTGGCGGTGCTCGGGACCATATGGGATGCTGGGAATCGAACCTGGGTTGGCCGCATGCAAGGCAAATGCCCTACCTGCTGTGCTATTGCTCCAGCCCTCTCGAATTTTTTGTTGCCTCTTCTTTTCCAGTAAGACTTTTTTTTTTTTTTTGCCTTTTGGGCAATAGGGGTTACTCCTGATTCTCCACTCAGGAATTACTCCTGGCAGTGCTCAGGGGATCATATGGGATGTCGGGGATCAAACCTGGGTTCAGCCATGTTCCAGACAAACACTCTACCTGCTATACTATAGCTTCAGCCCCTCCAGTAAGACTTCAAAATCTAGCTTTAAATCTGTGTCTTTTTCTGGGCAGCAGTTAGAGATTTCTTTTTATTTTATATTTTTGTTTTTCATTTTACTTCATTTTATGTTTTTGATTTCGACTGTGTTCAGGGCTTACTCCTCGCTCTGAGCCCAGGGGTCACTCCTGGTATGCTTGGGCGACGAAGTGCTGGGGATCAAACCAGGGTCGGCCACATGCAAGGCAAACCTCCCTCCCCTACTGTTGCTTCTGCCCCTCTTTGTGAGCGTCTTTCAAAAAATAATGATGATTAATTTGCTTTTGTTTCCTTTTTTTGATTCTAAATAGGAACTGACAACATCTCAGAAGAGTGGCGGGAATGTTCTTCAAATGATGTATGAGAAACCTGAGCGGTGGTCTTTTACCTTCCAGTCTTATGCCTGCCTCAGTCGAATCCGGGCTCAGCTTGCCTCTCTCAATGGCAAGCTCAAAGACGCCGAAAAACCTGTGGTATTTTTTGAACGATCTGTATATAGCGACAGGTATGTAAAAATGACTTTTAATCTTCTCAGTCTTGCATTGATGGCATTAGGGAAGTTCTAGCACTTATAATCCTTCAATGCTAAACCTCATTCAGGTTTGTTCTGTTCCCTCCAGCCCTCTTTAAATTCTCACCTGAGGGGCTGGCGAGATAGAGCAGCAGGTAGGGTGCTTGCCGACTGACCCCAGTTTAATTCCTGTCATCTCATGTGGTTCACTGAGCCTGCCAGGAGTAACCCCTGAGCACTGCAAAGTGTGGCCTACAAACCAGGAAAAAGAAAAAAAAATACAAACTAAATAAGATTCTTATCTACTCAGGTTAAATCTGGAACTATTTTCTATACGCTCCACCAAGAACAAGGAAATCAATTATCCCTCATCATGTCTTAAAATTAGCTTTACCAGGATTCTTTAACCTCTGGAGTTAATTTTGACTAAAGGTCTTCAAACTTTTTGGTCTCAGGATCCCTTTCCATCATTATTATAATTATTATTATTATTGTTGTTGAAGCGAGAGTTTTTGCGGAAACTTGTTTAGAAAGATGTGAGGGTTCAGAAAGAAAATAACGTGTGCAAGAGTACACAGGCTTTCCAGAGTAGAGATAGGCAAAGAAACAGAGATAAGGAAGTGAAATATATGTATTCAAGGGAGAATGTGGGCTTGAAGACCAAGTCTTTGTTATTATTATTATTATTATTGTTATTGTGTTTGGTTTGGGCCAGACCCAGTGGTGTTCAGGCCTTACTCTTGGCCCTGTGCTTAGGGATTACTCCTGGTGGGGCTTGCATCATATGGAATGCAGAGAATCGAACCAGGGTCCGCTGTGTGTGCCATACCTGCTGTACTAATGCTTTTGCCCTTCCCTCTCCTTTTCCCTTCTTAATAAATACTATGGTGGGCTGGGGAGATAGTGCAGGGATGCGGCACTTGCCTTGCTTGGGGTCAGTGCTGGTTTGGTCCCCAGCAGCGCGTGCAGGGAGTGATCCCTGAGCACAGAGCCAAAGTAAGCCCTAAACACTGCTGGGTGTGGCCCCCAACCATAAATGAATCAATACTGTGGAAGTCAAAGAGACTTGTAATATTTTAAGAAGCTGAGATTGGAAAATTATTATTTAAGGCAGAAATAATAAACCTTTATAATAACAAATAAAAATTATATTAAAAATTTGGGATAAAGTAGCACTGTCTCATGTTTGCCAGATATCTTTAATATCTGATAGAGATTACTAGAGTCTCATGCTCTTTATGTTTGAGCTAGTATAGTGTTGGGGAGGGTTTTTTTTGGTTGAGAATTGAATAAGAAATAGCCTAACCTTATAGAATCTCTGTAGGTACCTGGGATGGGATGCCAGGGATCCTCAGGACATGTTTGAAAGCCACTGATCAAGACTGTATTTCTTGTAGTTGGAGATAATTATGTTTTATTTTTTAAAATATGTTCTCTAATTCTAAAGCATCATCTGTCAAAAGTTTTAGGAGAATGTTCCATGTCCATTTAATAGATTGCTTTTTTTTGTCTCTTTCTGCTTTCTGGAAAGGATGTGTGTATTCACATGGATTCTCTTTCAGGTATATTTTTGCATCTAATTTATATGAGTCTGAATGCATGAATGAAACAGAATGGACAATTTATCAAGACTGGCATGACTGGATGAATAACCAGTTTGGTCAGAGTCTTGAACTAGATGGAATCATTTATCTTCGTGCCACTCCAGAGGTGAGACAAAACACAAATGTACAGTGCAAAACACTGTATTGTACCACTGTCCTCCCATTGTTCATCGATTTGCTCGAGCAGGCTCAGTAATTTCTCCATTGTGAGACTCGTTACTGTGTTTGGCATATCGAATACGTCACGGGGAGCTTGCTAGGCTCTGCTGTGCGGGCGAGATACTCTCGGTAGCTTGCCGGGCTCTCCAAGAGGGGCTGTGGAATAGAACCCGGCTCGGCCGGGCTGGCCACGTGCAAGGCAAAATGCCCTACCACTGTGCTGTCCCTCCAGCCCAATGCAAATGTGTTTCATTAAAAATTTAAACTAATACTTACAAATCGTTCCAGTGCTATGTAGTTTCCTAAAGACAGTTTCATGTAATCTCACCCACAACCTCCAAATTAGAAACTCCGATTTAGATAGAAGTTTTCTGGTTTTGCAACAACGTTTTTGTTTTTGTAGGCCCTTCACTGTATTTTCTCAGCTTTATTTACCATTTTCTTTTTATTTATTTATTTATTTATTTATTTATTTATTGAATCACTGTGGGAAAGGTTACAAAGCTTTCAGGTTTAGGTCTCAGTCATGCAAATATCAAACACATTTCCCTTTACCACTACTTATTTTTTTACCATGAAGAACCCCAATAAAACCCCACCCCCACCCCTCCCAGTCCCTGTGAGGCAGATGAATTCTAGTTAACACTCTATCTGCTTTGATTAGATTCATTGTTTCAATATAAGATTCACCACTATTATTTAGAGTTTACCCCCCCCAAATCAGACATGCTGAAAAAGCATTGTGAAGTGATTTGCTTTCTATAGCTGGGTTCAAGAATTAAATGTTGGTTTTGGATTTCTGCTATTTTACTTATTAGCCCTGGAAGTATTTCTACTGAAAGTCAGATAATTAAGAAATTGGTTTCTGTGCTCTGGAGTCGTGGCCGTGCCGGAGAGCCGCTCGTGGGGGGCAACTGGTGGCCTCGGTAGGGCGTGAGGGGCGGACCGAAACGCCCCCCTTCCCATGAGGTTTTAGTCGCCCCCACACCCCTGGCTCATACCTGCTGTCCACAAGGCTCCCATGTGGCCGCCATCTTTCTTTCCAGAGAGGAGAGGGCGAATGGGGCAACACCCTCCCCCCCCCCCCCCCACAGACATGATGGCCTGGATTAACGCATAGTCCTTTCACTTTTCTGCTCCAAGCTGCCGGGTTCTGCATTAAGTCCTTGTGCTTCTGGGGCCGTGGCTGTGCTGGAGAGCTGCTCGCGGGGGGCAACTGGTGACCTCAGTAGGGCGTGAAGGATGGACCGGAACGCCCCCCTTCCCATGAGGTTTTAGTCACCCCCACACCCCCGGCTCATACCTGCTGTCCACAAGGCTCCCATGTGGCCACCATCCTTCTTTCCAGAGAAGAGAAGGCGAATGGGGCAACACCCTTTCCCCTCCGGCAGACTTGATGGCCTGGATTAACGCATAGTCCTTTCACTTTTCTGCTCCAAGCTGCTGGGTTCTGCATTAAGTCCTTGTGCTTCTGGGGCTGTGGCCGTGCTGGAGAGCTGCTCGTGGGGGGCAACTGGTGGCCTCAGTAGGGCGTGAAGGACGGACCGGAGCACCCCCCTTCCCATGAGGTTTTAGTCACCCCCACACCCCTGGTTCATACCTGCTGTCCACAAGGCTCCCATGCGGCCGCCATCCTTCTTTCCAGAGAAGAGAGGGCGAATGGGGCAACACCCTTTCCCCTCCGGCAGACTTGATGGCCTGGATTAACGCATAGTCCTTTCACTTTTCTGCTCCAAGCTGCAGGGTTCTGCATTAAGTCCTTGTGTTTCTGGGGCTGTGGCCGTGCTCCAAACTTAACTCTGATTTTCAGGGAGAAACGTTGGGTGGTTTACTTCCCATTGATCACTTTGTACATAGATGTCGCGCGGCCGCGGTTTTGAGGAAAAGTCCTAGTTCCCCTATACTTGAGCTGTGCTTGTAGAGGCTTCTGGTCACCGGGGTTCCATCTGGGGGAGGCGGGATGCGGTACCTACCCCATCTGGGACTTCCCGATGATCTCAGCTCTTTTTGGAACCTGTTTTTTTTTTTCTCCGGGAGCTGTGGATCCCGCCCTCCATGTGGCCCTTCTCTTCGGCTGTATGCTGTATATTTGCCATTTTCTTAACTTTTGTGAGCTCTCATATCTGTCAAAGCTATCAGAAGAAACATAGAGTCATCAGAAGATAGTTCTTGAACTGTTTTAAGTACAGCGGAATTTTTTATTTTTTTAATTTTTATTAGTGAGACACCATGAGGTACAGTTGTAGACTTAGAAATTTTGTACTTGGGTTTCAATTATACAATGATCAAATACCCATCCCTCCACCAGTGCCCATAATGCTTAGAAAAGCGTCACCAGAAACAATTGCTCAGTAAATGTTTGCTGAATAAATTAGAAAATTTATTGTGGTTGGTATCAAGAGTTTTTTTTTTTTCTTTTTGGGTCACACCTAGCGATGCTCAGGGGTTATTCCTGGCTCTGCACTCAGAAAGTACTCCTGGCGGTGCTCAGGGGACCATATGGGATGCTGGGAATCGAACCCAGGTTGGCCACATGCAAGCAGTCGCCCTACCCGCTGTGCTATTGCTCCAGCCCCTCAAGAAATCTTTTAGAGTTGTTTAAGGCTTCATGTATGGATTGTAGCTTCTGCATTTGGGAGGAGACTTAGATAAAAATAAACTTTCATTTTCAGATTAAGGGAGCGAACTTGAAAATGTGCCTTTATGACAGGTTTTAATATAGCTATTATTTATACCTGGAATTATTTAACACATACAGGAATGCCAAGTGGTAGTCATAAAACTTGAGCTTATATGTATTAAAAGTTCTGATTTTAGTGCCTGCATTTCCCTTTGTTTTTTGATTTCTTTTTTTCCTTAAATCAAAAAGTAGGCTCTGTTGAATAAAAATTTCATGACTTCTAGCCTGAAAGAATGCTGTGTTGCTGTTGGAACTACATTTTCAAAGAATTTAGATTTCTGATTTCAAGTGATGATTCTGTTTCTCTTCTAATATTAAGCTAAACCTTAACAATATTAATTTTCAAATTTGTTTTTATCTCAAAGATTTTTGTTTTTAATTATAACAATACTAGATGCAAAATAGAAAGAGCAAAGGATTACTAATAATTGCTTTGTGCTAGAAACATTCTTAGATAATGTCTTGATGTCCAGTGTAAACTTTTACCAATCTTTTTGTTCATGTTTATTATTTGATTAGAGGATTATTTAATATTTTGAGGAGGATTTATTAATAGGCTTATAAGCAAAGTTTGCTTTTTTGTTTTTGTTTTTGGGTCACACCCAGTGAGCTCATCAGAATTTACTCCTGACTGCTCGGCAGTCACTTCTGGAGTGCTGAAAATACGTTTTGAAAATTTAATGGCGCAGAGTCCATTGTCCTCCGTACTTTACCTCTATTGCTATTTGTTTTTAGAAATGCTTGAATAGAATATATTTACGGGGAAGAAACGAAGAGCAAGGCATTCCTCTTGAATATTTACAAAAACTTCACCATAAGCATGAAAGCTGGCTTCAGCATAGAACACTAAAGTAAGATTTCCTAATTTACTACTTTTAATCATTATCAAAATTTTGTTTTGTTTATTTGTTTGGTTTTGGGGCAACACTCTGAATGTTCAGGGTTTACTCTTGGCTCTGTGCTCAGGAATCAGTCCTGGAGGGGCATAAGGGACCATATGGAATGTTGGGGATCAAACCTCAGGTTGACTGTGTGCAAGGCAAGTGCCCTACCTTCTGTACTTTTTGCTTTTTATCACATTTTAAACTAAAATGTGTAATTTTTCATTTTTATTAGCATTCTAGCAAATCTACTCCAGTTACATGGGTGATATAATATTTTAAGTTCCACAGTAAGTGAAAAAGTAGGAAATAAATACAAATATGTATGTACTTTATTTAGGTTTTTTTCAGAGCATTTTTTGGCTAATGGCGGTATGGTTTGGTCATACCAAGTGGCACTCAGTGATTACTTCCGGCTCTGTTCATCGGTCATTGGTGCTCAGGGGACCATCTGTGGACTGGTGTCGATTGTGGGCGAGTACCTTATTTCTTGTACTCACTCTCCAGCTCCAAAGTTTTCTTTTTTCTTTTATTCCCCCATGGTGCCAGGGACCAAACCTCCCCAGCACCAGAGAATTCTAAGGTACTTTAAAATTGTTTCTTTAATCAAGACTTGGGAGGTGGAGGAAGTGTAGAGTGCAGTTGTTAGAAGCGTGGGATTTTCAGTAATGAGATCTTGCTGTACATCCAGTTGCGCTTACTACAGTAGTATAGTGAACTTACCCTATATATTTTATATCTGAGACTCTGAGATTGTACAGATTGGAGCCATGAAACGACAAGTGCTTTCCTTGTATGCAGCCAGCCCTGATTTTATGTAGGTGAAAAAAAGGCTACCAAATGATGTACTTGCATGTAGTTGCACGCAACTTTAATATTATTGGCAGCTTGTTTTGAGAATAATATAAGAATGAATTTTTTTTATGTTTCTATTACTGAATTTCTAATTTTGTTCTTCATGTCCCTGTTTTTAAACAGAACCAATTTTGATTATATAGAAGAAGTGCCTATATTAACGCTGGATGCCAATGAAGACTTTAAAGACAAACATGACAGTATGGTTGAAAAGGTAGATTTACACAAAGCCTTTAATATTTGTTTTGTCTTGTTTAAAAAAGTGTTTCGTGTTTTTGAGAAAACAGTTTATTTTCTTTTTCTCTTTCTTTTTTTTTCTGTTTGGGCCACACCTCACAGAGCTAAGGGCTCACTCCTGGCTCTGTGCTCAGGGAATACTCTTGTCAGGGCTTGGTGAACCATATGGTGTGCCAGGGATTTAACCCAGGCTGGCCGCGCTCAAGGCAAATGCCCTACCCACTGAACTGTCTCTCCAACCTCTCCTTTAGTTCCTTTATCTGTAAATAGAAATCAGAATAACAGAAGCTCATGCTCTCTGCTTCTCTGTTTTGTCTCTTTTTTCTTGTCTTCGCTGTCCATAAATCTTCAGATTTTAAGTAAAGCATCTTGTGGATTTATATTTATCTTTTTAAACTAAAATCAATATGATGGTTATTTTAAGTTGTAAAATTGGATCTCATCTATTTTTGTATTTGGTAAAATTTTAAGTTAAAGGATTATCTGCTTTAGATTTCATTTGGGATCTTGTAGATGATGAATTGGAATAACCTAATCATTGACTTAAGTTATTTTAGGGTTAGTCTATCCTCTGAATGGTTGGGAGTTAACTATTCTCTGAAATAGTTGTGTCCATACTGATAAAGTGATTCTAAGGCAACATACTGATAAATATTTGAGAAAGAATAGAAATGGGAATCGTATAAAAAAATGTTCTTGTGTCCTTTTTAGTTAACTGGATGGTCTAAGGTGTAAAGGGGTTTTTTTTTGCTTGTTTACTTTTGAAAGAAATTTTAATTTTTCTTTTTCTGTCACAAGATATCTGCCATTTTCTATAATAGGCAGTTGGCATTCACAAGGAGCATACCTTAAGAACTTTGGAGATCTCAAGATATAGTTAATGGAGACAGCATACAGTCATTTTTCCCATGGTATATAATGAAACATATTTGGAACATTGAAGTGACTTTTTTGTATTATTAATGATGTTAAAAATAACAGGTTAGAATCACTTACAATGCCATTAACATAATTAAATTAACAACCTGTGCAATATTAAAAATAACCATCATTACATTTTTATTTTTGGAAGCTGGATAGGACAGGGGTTAAGGTTATTGCCTTACTTGTGGCCAACCTCAGTTCAAATCCCCTGTCCTACATGTGGTCCCTGAGAACCATCATGGATTACTCCTGAACACAGCCAAGAATGATCTCTGATCCCAGGGTGTCGCCCAAATTCATGTCTTCCAAAAATACATTTTGTACTGACTTTTCATTGGTTTACAATAGTATATAATTTGAAGGGTTTGATTTCGTACATTGTTTGTAATTGGCACAACTCCCAACACCAAAGTCTTAGTTACCAGAACAACCTACCTACCTACCACCAAAAGGACCAATTCATATCTCCTATCCCAGTCCAGTTCACTTCTGGTAATCACCATAGTTCTCACCATGTAGGAGTTTGCTTTGTAATTCATTTCCCACATAAGACGACTAATGTCTGATTTCTTACTTCACAAAGTCTCACAATGGAGATGTTACAGGGCCCGCTCAAGCAAATCGATGAACGATGGGAAGACAGTGCTCAGTGCTGCAGTGCTATTTCACTTATAATTGCCTCAGGTTCCATCCATTTTATCCCAAAGAGCAAATTTTTTTGTTGTTGTTTGTTTTGTTTTTGTTTTTGGGACACATCTGACTATTCCCAGGGCTTACTCCTTGTTCAGCACTCAAGATGATCACTCCTGGTGGGCGCCAGGGACCAGATCAAGTGCTGGGGATTGAGCCTGGGTTGCTGTGCAAGGCAGGTGTCCTACCTTCTCTACTGTCTCTCTGCCTACCATATTTTTTTGATGGTAGCGTATTTCACTGCTTTTGTATACCACAGCTTTTTCACAGTCATTTATTGATAAGTATTCACATTTGTTTCATGCTTTTGTAAATAATGCTGCCAAGAACATACGACACAGATACCTTTTAACTAGCATTTTCCTGTTTTTCAGCAAAATACTTAAGAGATTATATGGCATTTTCCTTTTTGTTTTGTTTTAGGCACATTCGTCAGTGCTCTCGGCATGTAGGGGTCACTCCTGTAGGTCTTGCAGGACCAGATGGGGTGCCTGGTGTTGTACTTGGTCTGCCACGTGTGTGGCAAGCACCCTACCGGCCGAACTATCGCTCTGGCCCTAGATTGTTTATAATTCCTATTTTAATTTTAAATTACTTTTTATTTTGAAATGTCTTATTTGTTACCGTGATTTATAAATGTGTCCATGGTTGAGTTGTAGGCGTACAATGTTTCGACACCAGTCCCACCACCAGTGTCCCCTTCCCTCCACCAATGTCCTCAGGTTCCCTCCGACCACTCCACCTGCCTCCTTAATAGACAATTTTTTCTTTTTTTATTGAATCACCATGAGATAGAAAACTTTCATGTTTCAGTCATACAATGATCGAACACCCATCCCTCCACCAGTGCACATTCTCCACCACCGATGTCCCCTGTACCCCCCGCCCCATTTTCAACCCTCCCCCTGCTTCCATGGCAGACAGTTTCCTCTGTACTCTCTCTACCTTTGGGTATTATGGTTTGCAATACAGATACTGAGAGGTTATCACGTTTAGTCCTTTATCTACTTTCAGCACTCATCTCCCATCCTGAGCGATCCCTCCAACCATGGTTGTCTTAGTGATCCCTTCTCTATTCCAGCTGCCTTCTCCCCCAGCTCATTAGACAGGCTTCCAACTATGGAGCAATATTCCTGGCTCTTGTGTCTACTGTCCTTGGGTGTCAGTCTCATATTATGTTATTTTATATTCCACACGAGTGCAGTCATTCTATGTCTGTCCCCCTTTCTGACTCATTTCAAAACTTAGCATGATATTCTTCATGACCATCCACTTACAAGCAAATTTCATAACTTTATCTTTCCTAACATCTGCATAGTATTCCATTTTGTAGATGTACCAAAGTTTCTTTAACCAGTTGTCTGTTCTCTGGCACTCGGTTTGTTTCCAGATTCTGGCTATTGTGAACAGTGCTGCAATGAACATACAGGTGCAGATGTCGCTTCTATAGTGCTTTTTTGCAGCCTTGGGATATATTCTCAGAAGTGGTATCCTGGTGTCATATGGAAGCTCAATTTCTAGTTTTTGAAGGAATGCCCATATTGTTCTCCAAAAAAAAAAATGGACAATTTTTGAAGTTGAAATTTTGTGGTTTGGGTCCCATACTTAGCAGCATTGGTGACTCTGTGATTTATATATATACATACATGTGCCAAACCTCCATACCACTGGTGTATTTATGACAAGGGAATGGAAGGTTCCTTTTCCATTTTTGAAGGAATCTCCATTCCATTTTTCATTGTGCTGCACTGAGTTTTATTCCCACAAACGAGAATCAGAGTTCTTTTCCTTCTCATCATCACCAGCATTTCTTGTACTGAATCTTTGATCTAGGCCGTTTTTACATGTGTAAGGTAATATTTCATCCTTTTGAATTTTGCATTTCCTTGCATCTTTTTTTCACGTGCCTATGGGTTGTGTCTGTTCTCTTTCAAGAGGTCCCAGTTTCAAGACAGTTCCAATCTTCAGGGGACATTTTTAAATTGACTTTTACTAAGTTTTGTGACTCTTTATATATTTTGAATATCTACTCGTTGTCAGATACATGCTGTGCAAATATTTTCTCCCAATTTGGTGTGTTGTAGTTGCTTCTGCTGTATAGAAGATGGTTGCTTTGATGTAGTTCCTTTTGTACTTTTTTGAATCTATAAGTGTATTATTGATATTGATGACCTGGAGTGTCACACCTGTTTTTTGTAGGCTAGGATTTGGGGTTCTAATATTTAGGTCTTTAAATCATCTTGAGTTTTTTGTATGATGCTAAATACTGATGAAGTTTTCTCATATTGCTATCTAATTTTCCGTGTTTTAAATATTGATCTTTTTCCATGTTGCTATCCAATTTTCTAGCACTATTTCCTGAAGAGACTTTCTCTTCTCCATTCTTTGTACTTAACATCTTTCTCATAGAATAGATGTCCACAAATATGTGAATTTATTTCAGGGTTCTCAATTCTATCCCATTTATCTGCCTATATATTTTTTTCTTCCAGTACCAATTGTTTTAATTCATACTGCTTTGTAAGATAGTTTGAAGTCAAGAGATAATGATGCTTTTGCTTTTATTTTCTTTTAGAATTGCTTTGGCCATTCTAGGTCTTTTGTCAATGAATCATCTATTTTTGCTGTTTTTACTTAAGGAGTGGGTATACTAGATGGTGCTCAGGGTCACACCTTGCTCTGTGTTCAGGGGGACCATATGCAGTGCTGGCATTCTAACTAGTGTCATGGCTGCAGCTGCATGCTAAGGCAAGCGCCTTAACCCTTGTACTGTCTTTCTGGTCAAATGAACCATTTTGTAGCTGAATAAATATGTAAAACCATCTTTAAATGTTATCTAACAAAATAATGGTGTTTTCGCTAGGAATTATATTTTATATTTTTATTTCTGCTCTTACTAAATTTTGATGTTGGTCAGTTGACTAGAATTATTGGTTGATAATCTGACCTTTGCTCACACAGTAACACTGCAGATTATATACATAATTCATATTTTGCTTCTGAAAAAGTACAAATCTGTTATACCTAGTGAACCTCCAGAGTTCTTTACACTGTTACAATTATTAATTTTATCAGTGCTAAAACTACACGTCAGCTATTTATGATGTTTAGTAGATTATAAAATTAGAATTATACAGTCATGAACAACTTGTAACTTGTATCTCACCATGGTTCTGTAAAATTTTTAAAAAATTAGGCTTATAGATATTGTCATGGGCTGGAGCGATAGCACAGCGGTAGGGCGTTTGCCCTGCGCACAGCCATTCCAGCTGAGCCAGGTTTGATTCCTCCGCCCCTCTCGGAGAGCCCGGCAAGCTACCGAGAGTATCCTGCCCGCATGGCAAAGCCTGGCAAGCTACCCGTGACGAAATTATTCGATATGCCAAACACAATAACAAGTCTCACAATGGAGACGTTACTGGGCCCACTCGAGCAAATCGATGAACAAGGGGAGGACAGTGACAGTGACAGATATTATCACACTCAATCAGGTAAAAATATAGTAGTTTTTATAATGGCATTATGGACTGTTGGTCTTCGAATAATTACGTATTTACTATTAATATTTTGAATGTAAGTGCTCTGACTGATCTTTATTTACACTACTGGGTCTTCAACTATTGTATATTTTAAAATGAAGATGAGTATTAGGTACCTCAGTTTGAAAATTGTATTAATATATTTTTCCTTCCCTAGGTCAAAGAGTTTTTGAGCACTTTGTGATCTTGCTGAAGACTGTCAGCAGCAAGTGAATCCAGAGTCTTCCATTTTGCTTGTCTTTGTATTTCTATTTGTATTTCCATTTTTATGTCTCTTTAGAAAACCACAGTTTATAACCATTTTCATTTCAAGAAAAACATTTTTGGATAATCTTACATAATTATTTCTTTTTATTGTTTCAAAAGCAAAAACTTTATCTCTCAGAAGACTGAGAGGGTAATGTTTCCAAAATCGGTATAGTTGTTTGATCTGCTACACTGTGTGTGATGTTTAAACTGTTCCATAAAGGATCCATCCTCCCTCTCTCCTTCCTTCCCTGCTGTTACCTATATTAGAAGGGTATGTTCTTTTTCCTGGTGCTTCTTGTCTAACTGATGGCCAGTTTCTTAACTGGAAAATTTTAATGTTGTGTAAAATAATATATTCCTTATGTAGTGTGACTTCTGTAAAATAGTGTGTTGTTGTTAGTTGAAATGTTGAATATAAGGCCAGGGAAATATCAGAACTGCCCTGTTCATTGCAAGTCCGCATTCAGCCCGTTGAGCCATCTCTTGGTCTCCCGAGCACCACCCAGTGTAGTTCTGGTGGTCCCAACACCACTGGCAGGCCCTAAAACAAACAATGAAAGTGGAATTGAAGTTGCTTAGAAAAATTGCTTTAAGGTTCTTTTTTTCGTATCTTTGTCAATTAGCTTTCCTTCCACCTTAATTTATAAGGCCCTCCCGTTGATCGTCGATTTGCTCGAGCGGGCCCAGTAACGTCTCCATTGGAGACTTTGTTGTTACTGTGTCTGGCATATCGAATACTCTCGGTAGCTTGCCGGGCTCTCCAAGAGGGGCGGAGGAATCGAACTCGGGTCGGCCATGTTGGCCGCTTGTAAGGCGACCGCCCTACAAGGGCTGGAGCGATAGCACAGCGGTAGGGCGTTTGCCTTGCACGCAGCCAACATGGCCGACCCGAGTTCGATTCCTCCGCCCCTCTCGGAGAGCCCAGCGAGCTACCGAGAGTATCTCACCCGCACCGCAGAGCCTGGCAAGCTCCCTGTGACGTATTGGATATGCCAAAACACAGTAACAACAGTCTCCAATGGAGACGTTACTGGGCCCGCTCGAGCAAATCGATGATCAACCTTAATTTATATGGAAGATAATATCAGGATTAGTATTTAATCATGCCCTTGATGTTTATCAATATAGCAATAACACCTTTATAAAGGAGCATTTTAGATTTTATTTGTGGGCTGTAGAAACAGATCATTGACTCTTTATTCTGCCTTTGTTCCTGTATCTGTGGTATGGATAAGACTTTACTCATTTTTCTTCTGTATTGGAGGATGAAAATAGCTGTTGCTTTCTCTCTCTCCTCAGACCATTTTTTTAGAATTGAGTACTGCTGCCACACTTAAAAGATTGATCAGCAGCAATTATTTGTCTATTGATGTCTTTCAATCATTTGAAGTGAAAGTGTAGTTCTCTCTCTCACTCACACTCTCTCTCTCTCTCTCTCTCTCTCTCTCTCTCTCTCTCTCTTCCCTTGCCCTCCACTTTTTTTGTTTTGGGGCCACACCTGGCAGTGCTCAGGGATCACTCCTGGAGGGACTTGGGACTATATGGGGTGCCAGGATTGAACCTGCTGTTCTGTCACTTTGGCCCTTTGCGTGTTTTTATGGATGGCAGTGTTACATAGTAGTAGTATTATAGTGAAGGGTCTCTTCGTTTTACATATGTAAGGTAAAGGAATAGAAAATAGAAAAGTTTCTATTAATTAAACATACTTAATCTCTCGGCACTTAACATGAATAATTATAATTTAAAGATCTTGCATATTTGCATATTGCATATTTGTTTTAGGTCTGTATAACCATCCACACCCCTACTATGCGTGCTTGTGGACATGTAGTGTTGTTGTTCTTGTTTTTTTTTTTTAATATATTTAACCTATACTTGACATTTTACAAAAAAATTCTGCTTTTGAAATGAGGGAAGTGTCACTTTGAAACAGTAATTTTTCTTTTTAGAATGTCTTCTCTGTGCTTGGAGAAATAGTGCAAGTGGGTAGGGTGCTTGCCTTGCATATGGTTGACCCAGGTTTGATTCTCCCGTTCACCCGATGCTCTCCTGAACCCCTCTGGGAGGGAACCCTAAGCATAGAGCCAGGAGTAAGCCCTGACCACAGCCAGATGTGGCTCCAAAACAAAATAAAACAAATTTAAACTTTTCATCTTTTTATTTTTGATTTTTTTTCATAATGTAGGAGTACTGCTGTTACTGCGTTTGGCATATTGAATACTCTCGGTAGCTTGCCGGGCTCTCCGAGAGGGGCGGAGGAATCGAACTCGGGTCAGCCATGAGTACTGTTACTTATTCAGCCATTGATTAAGTTTTGGTTTCTTTTTTTTTCTTTTCTTCTTTTTTTTAATTATTATTATTATTATTATTATTATTTTTGCATCACACCCAGCAATGCTCAGGGGTTACTCCTGTCTCTGCGCTCAGGAATCACTCCTGGCGGTGCTCGGGCGACCATATGGGATGCCGGGGATCGAACCCCGGTCGACCGTGTGCAAGACAAATGCCCTACCCTCTGCTATCGCTCCAGCCCCAAGTGTTGATTTCTTGATATTAAAAACTGATCATTGTTTTGATTACTGTTGCTTCTTTTTTTTTTTTTCTGGTTGTTCTAGGGATTAATTTTAGGGCCTGGCACATGCAAAACATGCATGCTACCACTGAACCTAATCCCTGCCTCAGTAACTACAGCTTTAAATTTAGTCTTGAGACTCAGTTTTTAAAATGTGTTTTCTAGCCTTGAGGCATGAGCTGTTCTTAGCAATACTTTGATTTGATGTACTAATAAGGTTTTTATAAGTATTGCTTGAATGAAATTATCTTTTACATCCCTAAGTTTAATATTGAAAAAAGAAAGGCAAATTTGTTATGACCTCCTATTTTCCTTATTTCTGTGTAGTGACATGGAATGCTATCATTAATATAGAATATATTGATTTTTGACAATACAAAAAATATGTAAGTATACTCTTCTGTAAAAATTGTTCGGTTATTAACTGTTTGCCATAGTTTCTTGAAAAGTTTTACTACCTTTCAGTCAATTTTTTGAAAAATATTTGGTTATAAAAATGTTACCAGTAGACTAAAACAAGTATGCATTAGAGAACAGTATTTTAACCTTGCTATATCAGTAAACATTTACTTTATATTTTCTGTACAGATTATAATTTTTGAGTACTTCAGGTAATTCTCTTTTACCAGAAGTATGTCAGTGGGAATCTAGATATTATATCTTTTTTGGAATCAAGTCCTTTCTGCAGATGCCTTTTCCATGCCATTTTGAAGGAAGGGTGTGTGTGGGGGGTGTGTGTGGGGGGTGTGTGGTGTGTGTGTGTGTGTGTGTGTGTGTGTGTGTGTGTGTGTGTGTGGTGTTTTTGGGTCACACCCAGTGGAGCTTATTCCTGGCTCTTAGCTCAGGGATCGCTCCTGGTGGGGTTCAGGAAACCATATGGGAGCGCCATGGATTGAACCAGGGTAGATGGTGTGTGCAAGGCAAGTGCCCTACCTGTTGTACTATTATTCCAGACCGTATTTTGAAGTTTTTCAAAGGGATCTTTCTATTTCTTAAACTTGGTCACAGCCTTATATTCCATCATGAAACTGAACGTGGTGGTCATGAAAAATTGGTTTAAAAACATCCGATGTAGTATCAGTAAATGTTTGATTAATATGCCTGTTTTGTATATTCCGAATCATGTGAAACTTTCTCTGGTGAAAAATTGTGCATGGAAAATGTTTAAGAAGCCTTAAATTATATTTTAAAGTGTAAGATGAATGTAAGAAAATACTTGTTTCCAAAAGGGTGGAAAATTGGTCTGGGGAAAAATGGTGCAGAAAGCAGAATTCATCTTTCAAAAATTACTTCTTTTTTCTCTAACAGCTGCAGCCCACTATCAAGCTTCTCTCTTTGACAAGAATAGTAAACCTTTATAATAAATTTTATATATAATCATTATTTCTGCTTAGAAGTTTTATTTTTTCATTCAGTTAGTAGGAGTTTTGAGAACTTATACAACATTATAAATGCCATTTTTAAAGTGACATGACATTTTAAACTTTTTTTCTTAGTTATAGCTTTCAGGAGTAAATTTAAAATGTAAGGGGGAGGGGCTGGAACAATAGTACCATTGGGTAGGGTGTTTGCCTTGCATGAGACTAACATGGGTTTGATCTCATATGGTCCCTCAAGCCCCCTGGAATGATCCCTGAGCACAGAGCCAGGAATAAGCTCTGAGAACAGTCAGGTATGGTTCCAAAATGAAACAAAAACTTGGGGGACACATATGTAATTAAATTTTACTTTTTTAAATTTTTACTTTTCTTTACCTTAGATTATTGCTTAGATTATTGCTACTATAAGTCTTTAATTATATATATGAGACATATGTACTTAATATGATATTAATTTTCTTGGAATTAAAAAAATAATAATTTTCTTGTGTGTGCTGAGTCCACATCCAATGGTGCTCAGGGCTTGCTCCTGACTCTGTGCTCAGGAGTGACCCCTGGTGGTGTTTGGGGGAATCTTCTGCAGTGCCAGTGACTTGAATTTGTGTTGACTGCATGCAGGGCAAGCACCTGAACTCCTGTAATATGTCTCTTGACCTCATATTATAGTTTTCTTGTTAAAATGTATTTTAATTGAAACATCATGATTTACAAAATGGATGATAATGCAGTTGTTTCAGACCTACAGCGTTCCAACACCAATTCCACCCTCACTGTGACCTTCCCTCCCAACTCCTAGCCTTTCCTATTAGCAGTCAGGTAACACGTTTACTTCATATTGCTTGCTCCGTTGGAACCGGAAGGAATGGCAAATGGAATTATCAGAAAATAAATAATGAAAATCAATTTGTAATGACTGATCATCATAGTAACCTATGTAAATAAATTAAAATCATGTAATACAGTGTAATATGCTTATTCTCATTTATATAAATAAGTTTTCAACTCTGGCATCTAAAATGTAGTGCATTAAGTTTTATTTTGTACTTGGGTCTCATTGTATTAATCATGTCTTCCCT